AGACCGCCTCTGCTCAGGGCCAACATCATTTTTTTCCCCTCCCCATTTCCTGTCCACTTCTGTGTTCACTCCTGTCATCACCTTCTCTGCCGTTCCTCTCCTTGTTGCTCTGTGTCACTTGACTTCTGCTTCTTTGCTCCCCGACCACCGTCGTTCCTCGCCTTAAAGCTGCGCTGGGTCTAACGCATTATGATGGCTGTGGTTGACTTTGTTATTACTGTGCAACTGTTTTTTCTCCATAAAAAAAATACGACATTATTTTTATGCTGCTCCGTCCATGTGGAAATGGAATCTGTCAAGTGCTCGCTGTGGCGTGAGGTTTTTCAGCGTATCAACTGCTGAAAACACGGGCTCTCTGCAGCCGTCTGTGATGTTTCCATACTGTGTAATCTGTGTAATCCATACTTTGTCATAGTCAGATTAATGCAGTTCTGCTATTTTCTCAAGGGTCATAAACCAGTAGTAGAAGTTGCTGTTGGTCTTTGTTTTTTGGCGATTGTGACATTTAAATCAACAACTTCTGTCTGAAGAGTCTACGAACTACAACTTTAACACCTGTCTCACTTTATGAGCAGTTTTATTTTAGGTTTTATGCAGAGAATGTTAAACTAAAATTCCAGATCATTTTTTTACCCTGCGCTGTTACTCTTCTGTTTTTACAACGTCTAATCTTTGTCTGTCTGGGTGGTCGTTTATGGAGACAGCTGGTCCACGCTGGCATTTATTCAAGTCATATTTTCAACTCTGTTTCTTTTTCTCTAGCCTTTGGTTTAATAATGCTGATATCAATCATTGACATCACAATTATTCCTCTGTAGCCTGGCAGACATTCTGCTCCACTCACTCACTCACTCACTCACTCACTCACTCACTCACTCACTCAGACATGCAATCTGTTACATGCGATGTAATCCAAGATGAAAGCCCAGAGATTACAGTAGAAATTGCCAACTAAAAAAACCCAAAATGTTCACACACCACGTGCACAACACTGCCTTTTGTCATCACCACTCAGCTCATACGTCGATATGAGGCCTGAGGCCTGTCATGTGATATGAAATGTCTAACAATGTGCTACATTGTTACACATTGCTACAGTGAGGAATGTGCCTACGACCTTTCACCTCTCACACTTTCTCACAATTTATCTTGTCACAATCGCTACTCTCGATAGAGAGGCGTTCACTCCAGCCTTCACTGGCTGTAAGTGTACATGTTGAATGAGGGTCACATCTTGATTTTGATGCGGAGGCGTACGAAGAGCTCATGTAGGCACAGAGTTCAGCACACAGGGAAAAAAAAAACCTGGCACGTTACTGCAATCTTTCACTGTGAACGGAAGCAGAGAAATACTGTATGTTACACCACCGCACCAACCGGAGGAAAAAGAAAAAAAAAATCAATATCATTCTGAGCATTTGCAATGTTTTAAAATAATTTTCCGTGGTGTTCAGGCACAAAAAAGAGTGTAGTTCTCAGTGTTTCATCAAAGTAAAATTAAGAATATTACTGCAAACCCGTTTCCATAATGGATGGAAAACAACCACGGCCACAATGTTGCCCACGAGGAAAGGCTATGGCTAAACTAACGAAGCACATGAAAAATAATACAGATTATTTTTACACCTCATTCAGTCTTCTTGTTGTGCAAGTGATTTTTTTGCATCACAGAAATGATCACTTTCACTGCAGTAGACTATGTCCGTAATACCTCAGTACTACTCAGTAAAATTAGGAAAAAATATTTAATGCTGGTTTATCGCAAATGATCTAAGAAACACCAAAATTAAGACATAGTTTATAAAGTACCACTAGGCTAGAAATTACATAGCAAATTTGGATTGCAATCCTTCTGAGACCTATTATATTTTCTCTGCTACTGACATTTTCCACAACCAGGTAATAACCAAGACTAGGCAAAAAACTATGTACAAGCTGGGACAGAAGCAAACTAAGATGAAATGTCTCCACCTTAATAAGGATTTTAAGGTCAATTCATAGTAGATTTGATATAAAATTTTTAAGGTCAATTCATAGTAGATTTGACACAAAAGAAGAAGTCACCAAAGGTTCAGTCTCACTATCAGTGTTATTTGTTTTTCTGTACTATTTTTATTTGAATATGCAATGAACTGATTTGGACAGTGACATGTTGTTGGCACGACTCTCGTGGGTAATATGATGACTTGCAATTTATGAGTCAACACATAGGCATTAAATTTATAAATTAAATATTTGAGATTAGTAAAAATAAAAATAAAAATATTTATACGTCACCAGTATTGTTTTGTGTGTCCTACTTCTACCAAACACTGCCTTAAAAATAAATTACAGTTAGAGAAACTCTTGTTTGAGTATGCAAAAACAAAAACTGGTTTGTAAAACATATGCAAAGCATGAAGCTGACTTCCAATTTCACCCATGTGCAGAGCAATACACACAACCATGTGAGTAGGAGCCTCAGAGGTCGAACGTATTCAGAGTTAAAGATTAGAAGGTCGTCCACAATGAGAGTGGAACAAGAAAAAAGACGGGACGGTTATTTTCACTGAGTGTTTCTTCAACCTGCTTTAATCTGCTATCAAACAAGGCTTGCTGATAAGGAGCAGGAGGATTAGGTTTGGGAGACAGATTCTAAAATGAGATGTAAAGAGAGAGAGAGAGACACAGGGGTTGTAAAAATGTCTTATTACAAAGAATTTCACCTTTCACTTCAGTTTCTGTATATTTTTGGAGCCCAGTTTGACAATAACCACCAGCAACAAAACCAGACTTAAATAAAACTTATTATAGTTTATATACTCTAAATCAAACAATATCAACCAGTACTTGATTTTTTTCCCCCATGGATTTAAGGATGCATTTCATTTTAAGATTGAAAAAAATATTTTGCTGTATAACAGATTTGTAAGAAAATTGTAATTAAAGTCGTTACCCAGCACAGTCTGAAGCAGAAAGATGCTTTCACAAATAAACTCAGATCCACATTCAAATCTTACTCTTTTCAAATCATCTACTCTTTTCAGCTTCTAATGTTCTAATTCAACAGACTTTTTTTTTCTCAAATTGCCTTCAGGGCAGCTCACTTGGCTTAATAGAACAAAATATCAACTAGAAAATGCAAAACTCTTTGCTTTGAAAGCACAGCCAAAACATATACAACTTGCATCATACAATATTACAGTAATACACCCGGGAGAATGAGAAGAAAGGCAGTAAGCTGAGGTTGAGAGGATTAGGTTATTAAGCCTGTGTTAAAAATTGATTAAATATACTCCGCAGCCAGAGATTTAGCTGAAGAAGACCTAGTTTCGTATAAATTGTAAATATAGTCGTCAAGTGCCCATTTTTTTCCATTTCATTATGGCATTCTGAAACCAGATGTTATGAGAAATATTTTGACTTCAGTCTGCCAAGTTTGGCAAATTGATTTTTTCTCTTCCCTTTTGATTTATTCGCTGTGTAAACCAGTTTCCATTCAAACGAATGCAGCTTTTTATCCACTGGGAAAAAGTGGTAAAAAATAGGTCAAATCTTAAATTTTAATAAAATAAATTACATCTTCTTAGACTCTGCGGGGAATGTAGTGAGAGTTGTGGATGGAAACCTCCATGGCTGCCTGCTTTGGAACAAACTATGGAAAAAAAGTTATATATAGTCTCACACTAGTCACTGTGAGGCATTCCCATTCTGTACAGATGGTTAATAATGTACCAAAACAAATGCACGATTTTAAACAATTTTACTGCCTGCGACTTTCTTTGTAAATACGTCTTTTTCTGCTACTCTTTTTTTCCTGAAAGACTCTTGAGACATGTTTTTATTTTTGTCAGTTTCTGCCTGATCTGAATGTGGAAACAATGTTTAAACTCACTGCTCTTGTGGAATGACAAAAACCTGCAAAACAAAGCTCGAGTCACATTGGCTGTTTTTAAAGAAACTTCAAGACAAGGACATTTGACTGACTATGTGTAGGTACAATTACAATCCAAACGTTTATATGGTTGATGTCAACACCACATCCATAGACATTGTGGTAATTCCAATAAATGTCTGGGGGCATTTGCTGATGAGGACGGTGGCAGATGATTTCATAACCGTAGAAAAGCAAACATGTGAGCTGGTGTGCACAAACGTGTGCGTGGGCAGGTGCTTGTATGTCTTGAGACTACCCAGTGATGCATGTCGTCTAAAATCAGTTTAGTTAGTTGCAAACCAGCAGAGCGTCTCTTATGTAACAGCAAAGTGCTTGAGTACACATGAAGTAAAAAGAAAATGACTGAAATTACAGTACTTATCTCACCAGTGTGGATCTTAAACACACCTTAAACACTAACATGGTCTTTCTGGTGTATATATTTGGATATTCTAAAGAGAACTCATGCAAATCCTGTATAACTGTATTTACCACCTGGTGTTTGCACACATGCTCAGTATCTGCCCTGACTCACCCACTCACGGCAGGTTCAGGTGCAGTTTGCCTGGAGAGCCTGTACAGTTGTGAGGATACTGTATGTAGCGTCAGTGGCACACACACACGAACCATCCTTGACTGACAAACACAGGCAAACACACTGTCCACTGCACATGCACGCACTGCAACGCAGTCAGACTCTGCAGTTGCACAAGGAATACACCCAGGAATAAACTCCTGATAAAACTTCCCATGCATACTAAAATCAGGGGGTGGGTTGGATATTTTAAGCCTCCGTGAAGTGCACTAAAAGAGCTCAGATGTTTCACTTCATCAAGTCTCAACAATACTCTCACATTCTCAGTGACTACCTCCGCCCTATGGAGCACAATTAACTGCTGTCTTCAGTGTGAGGTGGTCCATGACTGGCACTGGAACCTTTAACGCACCCTTTACACGTATGGACACATAACATGCATAAAAGCACACACCCAAAAAAATAAAATAAAATAAAATAAAATCGCCCACAATTAAGTGGCAGGCCTCCAACTATGAGAAGATGCTTGGTCGCTCCTCCCGGTCTCACCTGCTCGTTGGCTGCCAGTTCTTTCTCCAGCTGTCGGTGTTTGTTGTGCCACACCAGATAGTGGATAGGATAACGACTCTTCTCCGGAGTTTTCTTGGCAGAAATCATCCTCAAATCATACTGTGTCTCCTCTCCTCCCTTCGCTGTGGACCGTAGTGGTACTTTTTTGGAATTATTCACGCTACTATCATCCTTCTTACCGGCGGTGATGACTCAAGGCGTAAAAGAGGCAGCGTCTTCTTTTACGCGTCAAGAACAGAGGGTGGACTCCTGTAGAATGGCTCAGCTTAGGAGAGAGAAATTCCCCGTATATTCTGGACAAAAGACACAACACCTCCGTTTGATAGTCTGATAAGATTGGGCTGCACCTTTCGGACTAAACACACCGCTCCTGCCTCCCACCTCTCTCTCGCTCTCTCTTTCTGCCTCTCTCTCTCTCCCTCTTTTTGCCTACTCTCTCCTCTCCTCCTCCTTCTCCCCCACCTCCTCTCCTCCCATCCGCTGCTGTGTGAGAAAGATGCGCTGACAAGCTGCAATGAAATGCGCGCACTCTCAGCCAATCCTGTGCTATGCTGCCTCACCAGAGAGCTCCGCAGAAATCAGACACATGTTATGGGTTCGTACATTTATCCTATAGGATTAGTATGATAATAATAATAATAATAATAATAATAATAATAATAATAATAATAATAATAATAATAATAATAATAATAATAACTGAAATGCACTGAAAAAAGCATTGAAATAAAACATAATTTACGGTTTATTATAATACAAGTATATTCTAGAAAGGAATGTCCACTCCCTTTTGATAGAATATTTATATTTATTTAAACTGAATAATACCTTATACTGTATATACAATGTATTTTTGGGGACTATGACCTCACATTGGGAAATTGTGTTAACAGCAGATCTGATGCCAAGCATGTAGTTCCTCTGGGAATCGAACCCAGGACTCTGCTCTCTGGGGCCAGATACTGTAGGGAATATGTTGCCACAGTTGTCGTTGCATGGAGGAGCTCTCAGCACCAGTTCTACCTTCACATACGAAGGTAGAACTGGTGCTGAGACTTGATTGACCCTCATTTTGTACACTCATAAAACAGTGGCTTAGATTTTAAGTGTGTGTGTGTGCTGTTCAGATCTATTTTCTGTTGAAAATGTCTGGCCTATTATCAAATTTGAATGCAGCTTAAATCTAAAGCCTATAAAAATGGTAAATTGCAAGGTGCACCGTTTAGGACCTAGAAGTGTGTGATTGTTGTGAAATGACGCTTTACAGAAACATTTGGTTTTGAAACATTTAAGAGCAAAAAAAATCTCATGCAATATGGATTTTTATTTTCGTGTAATCTGTGTCTCAGTGGTTTGGACCTTCGCCCCCTTTCTCCTCCATAGGTAGTCCGAGGGGATCTAGGGTGTGTGTTCATGTGTATGTGTATGTGTGCGCGCGCGTGCGGAAACTGACAGGTAGAAAGCTGCCGTCTCTCGGTCAGCTGCGGGTAATGCGGTGATTTTGTAAATATTGCGATGTGACTGTTCACTCGCAGCGTCTGATTAACTATGTGCACAAAACTTGGCACCGGACTTGGAGTTCGGCGGTGAACGTGGGCGAAGATACCGCAGGAACAAACGGGAAATCCAACTGTCAGCTGGCCGGGAAAAGCGATCACACCACCCGGCTTCCGGGGATTCAGGGGCCGCATCGGTTGACGGCAGACGTCGGTCGGTAGCTCGGTGCGGGGATAAGGGCGAGCAGCCATATCATCGCCGACATCCACAGCTCGACTTAAGGCACTTTCCATGATGTCAAGAAAGCTACAAAGGACAGAAGTCTGCGCCGACTGCAGTGCGCCAGGTAAAATAAATCAGAATAGACCAATCTGCTGGAACAATACGCCAAGAGGGCGGAGTGAAGGGACAGCAGGGCCCGGGCTACTGTCACTGTCAGCGGGGCCGCAGAGTAGGGAAACTACCGGGGCTCCAGAGCGTCGCGTAGGCCCCGAATTGACCGAAAATAGGCGTTATCATAACGAGAAACATCTTTGGCTAAAAGCTGCTAAATGTTCAGTAGGTCAGTTTCTCTGTTGAAAATGCATTTGATGACTGATACCTGGTTTAGTGGCGAGCACTTTGTTCACTGCAGTGTAAGACGTAAGTGTTGGGTTTATGTCATCACTTTAACAGACGTTTGTTTTGATTTTCGTGACCGTCACAGACTTAACACATTAGCACAGCCCGGCTAACGAGCTGGTGATTCAAACTTAAAACGTTGTACTGTAAGTAAACAGGCATGGCTGACTTAAAGCACCACATACATTGCGCCGTTCGTGGATTTTATAACTGTTGATACACGACTGCGGCGTTTTTAATTTATGTGTAGCTGGACAACGCCGTTAGCTTAGCTGTAGCGTTAGCTGCCTCAGCTAACTTTTGCTAAATGACAAGTTGTTGAGTGGATTCGGCTAACGTTAGCCTACATCACTGGCTGATTTGGGCTTTACAATTTCTAAAAAAAAGCTTTCTTTTTTTTCCAGTTTCAAAATTGATATTTATCTTCCAAGAGTCAAACCTTGAGTCTCGTTTGCAAATAAATGTGCAGATATTGAACTTTAGTTTCTAAAAGCTGTGCAAATCTTATCTTAATCTTAAATCTTATCTTATCGTTACAACAAGTCGATTGTATGATCCTTGTAATATATGCAGATCGCATTTTTATTGCGCTATTCAGTCTTGTTTCGTCCGAAAGGTTTACACATTGATAAAGGAAAAAATAGTGTGAACTGTTCAGCAAGAAAGATTCCACAAATATCTAATTTAAATTAAACATGATAATAGAATTGGTTCAAATCAAAGTTGAAGATATTTTCATGGTACTGGGTACACACCATAACAAAACTGAACGCAGTAACAATACAAAACACGCAACACCTACTCTACTAGTTCTATGGTATGAGAAATGCTTGTCCCAAGCAAACATAATAAAGCAGACCAATGTTTCAAATGGTGTTTAAGGTCGCAGATAATTAAGCAATGATGAGGGCTTTAGAGTAAGTGGGGTCTTGGAAAAGCAGTAGAACACAGTTTTTAAACAGTACCCTATTATCTACATTATTAAATGTTTAAGATAACAACATCCTTTCCCAAGCTGTGTGTCATTTTAGGTGGTTACATCTCAAAAAATTAAATTATTATAGTTTTTTGTATTCACAACCTACAATTCTGTTTACTTCTTTAAATATACTGTATTATAGACATTTCTTTGTTTGTGAAAACATTGTATGTGAAGTGTAATGGAGGACTGTGTTTCCAAAACAACCTTGGTATTTCATCTTCTTCACGTGTAGCCTCACATGCCCTGATGTGCTTACGTTGAAAGCGTTTGTTTATACTATAGATACTCCCTGCCTCTGTGTGTATGAGTGTGTTTATGTGCATGAGTTTTTATTAATGTGTGTATGCATTAAAACAGCTGTTCTCTCCAAGTGCTCCATCTGACAGCAATGTTTATGTCTGCAAAACTTCTCAAGCTCAAAGGGCTTAAAATCATTCTTGCCTTTCCTGGTGATTCCTGCTTTTACAATCATGTACTCATCTTATAGTCTGTAGTCATGCCGGTTCGTTTCCTTTTTAATTAGCTCACTGGCACCAATCAACCACAGTTCAAACACTGATTAATTGCCATTGAAATATATATTACAGAACAAATCTTCAAGCATCTGTTGAGCATAAATACATTTACAAACATAAGCTGTCTCCGTTCAGCCCCTCCCCACCACAACGTGTGCACACACGCAGTGCGTTCTGCAAAATGCTGACCCAGCCACTAGTGACAGGCCACCTCCCTGCTACCCTGCTTTGTGTCATTTTGTGGCATGGCTACACAACACAACTGCTGTTTCCAGGAGGCTTTTGTTCAGTATGGTGTGTCATAGCAAGAGTAAACCTGTTGGCTTTTTTGTTTTTTAATGTTTGTTTTTTTTTTATGGAAAATGGGTTGAATTGTATAGGGATGTCAGGATCTAGTGCAGTCATTAGATCAGTTTGTAGTGGCAACGCATCTCTATATGAAGTTAATTTGCTGCGTCAGTGGTTTTTATGATCAGTGTTTGGTTGAGTCACTGTACAGTACAGTAAGAGAAACCTTAAGAAATTCAAGTACAACTCATGCTGCTTCATTACACAATGATGGGTAACATAATATATACTAATGTATATACTAATGATCACTGTAAAATTTTAGGTCTGTCAAAATGAATGCTTAATTGCAATAATAAATTAGTTATAATAGTAATTATTCTGATTTTAAAAAATGCAGCTCATTTTATGCATGGGCAATGACCATTATTGTATATCCAATAATTCCTCCATCCATCCACGCAACCATGCTTCAATACACAGTTGATACACAAGTTATTATTTATACACGATGTGTAAAAAAAAGTGTTGGTTTCACCAACCACCTCAAGCCTAATATGCTATAAAGACACCTAGCGTGTGTTGTTGAGGCATCAGCTTAAGGTCAGACACTCAGCCTGTGAGCGCATGGCTGTAAGTAAGTCTTCGCTTGTCAATCTGACTGACACCGTCGCCAAATGGATTGTGACTTTCTCTGCCACCACTTTTCCAATTCCATGATTATAATTACCATTCATTCACGGCTACCCTTGGATAAATCAGATCTAAATTCTATGTGTGACTGCCCTAAATAATTTATTTAGCAAGAACTGTAATGTAAATAAAATGTAAACTCGCAGATCACAGATAAGAGTTTTTCAGCTAAGAATGTACAGGTAGCATTTTTCCCAAAAGTGGAATTATATGGTACTTGTGAATGTTTGAATAATTAACAATCAATCAGAACTAGTTATCAGTAAAATTTAACATCTCTCCAGTCAAAGCACCGGCTTCATTATTAGTTCCCCAATTTTCAATACTGACATTTATATTAAGTACATGTGTTTTATGCAGGCTAAAGCGACAGTTGTAAAAACAAATGCCATTGCTGTGTTAGGCCAAATTCAGGCCTAATGTTGACATGCTGCAGATTTGGCCTCTGCTCTACTGCCAATAGTCTCTTTGGATTCAATATACCTTAATAGTTTGACCCCATATTGATCCATTCAGCACAGCAGTTAGCATAGCCTGTGGGTATTTTTATATTTATAACAGAGATTAAGGAATTAAATTGTTGAGCTTATGAAAGCTGTGTTCGTATTAAAGCCATTTTGTATTTGGCGGTGCATTTTTTCCTGCAGTCCAAATAATTTCCAGCAAATAAGTTGTGCTACTGGTGATGCTCTATTTTAGGTCAGGCCCTAAGCTGAGAGTGTTTTTCCAAGCCTGAGAGCGACTAATGGTGCCACTACTGTAGACGTATTTTTTTGTTTGTTTTTCCTCATGCATCCATGGGTAAGGTAATGCAAAACTAGTTCTAATGGTTGCAGACTGTGTTCACAGTGTGCTGTTTATCACATCAGGCTCCTGAGGCATATGTGTGTGTTGAACCTAATGGCTAGTTCACAAATGTCAATCTAGTTCTCTCATCTTATTCTCCCCCTTTCTTTTAGAAAAAAAAAATGTATGTATGCTTTCTCAGGTAAAGAGATTCTATTCTCTTCACTTAATTTGTAACATTAGCATAATTTGCTGGAGACCTTTGGGGTTTTATGGCTCTTTGTGTCAGAAGAATTTTTTATGAGTGAGTTTCATCACTATAATTCTAATAAGTAGGAACTGGACAATAATGTAGAATGTGTGATGGTGTGTAAGATTGAATATAGCGTTTAGATCAGGACTGTTCCGTCAGAGCCTGGTTTCAGTTAACATCTGTGAACATACTGCTTTATAATGCCACTAATCAAATGTGATTGTCTTTGTCCATTTCTTTATATAAATATCTTATAGAATTGCAGGTTTTATTGTTAGTTTCACCTTGTCATTTAAGATGGTATAACCATCTGTTTTCATTTTCATGTCAGACCCCGGCTGGACCAGCATCAACCGTGGGGTCCTGATCTGTGACGAATGCTGTTCAGTTCACCGGAGCCTGGGACGCCACATCTCCATAGTCAAACACCTGAGACACAGCGGGTGGCCGCCTGCACTGCTGCAGGTAGGGGTCAGGAGAAGAGCAAATGGGGAAAAAAAAATAGTAACTCAGAATCTCAGAAATTCCTTTGATAGGAGAACCATGTGTTGTGTCCCATGTTTTTGGATAGCTTCATAAATTTGCTTTTCCAGTCTAAGCCCTATTAGATATAAATATTTGGTCATAACTAATATTAGCATACATGTCCTCAATATTGTTTTTTTTCCCAGATGGTTCAGACCTTGGCCAGTAATGGAGCCAACTCAATTTGGGAACACAGTCTCTTGGACCCTGCTCAGGTTCAGAGTGGTCGTAGAAAACCCAACCCCCAGGACAAAGTCCAGTAAGTTCACTCACTACTGGAAAAACACTAGCTAAGCAACACTTTGACACAAACCATTGGAACAAAAAGATGTCGCATTCTTTTTTGTTCTTTTGTTATTTTTACATTGTTAATTACATTTTTACTATTAAAGCTTTGTCCTCAACATAAATGTACATTGATCCTAAATAAATAATAAATAAATCAAGACAAATTACATTTTTATTCTCTGTCTATAAGAAAATAAGATGTCCTTTATCTGTACCACAATGGGGAAATTCATCTCTCATCTCCTCTCCTCTTGTATAGTCCAACTAAATCAGAGTTCATCAGAGCCAAATACCAGATGCTGGCCTTTGTGCACAAGCTGCCCTGCCGCGATGATGATGGCGTCACCACCAAAGACCTCAGCAAGGTGAGGGCTCTTCATTCCCACAGCTGTGGGGCAGAACATTATGGGATTCGGCTAATTGAACTATAAAGACACACAGGCCATAATGCAGAACAGCACATGTAAGCACAAAGGATGTTTCTATTATAGATGTCAGAGGGAGACCTTTAACATAAACACACACGTGCACATCCTCTACTCGCACACACTCACACACACACTAGGTGATAACCCCCCTTTGGCAGGAAGTGATCTGAACGACACAGCAGGATGTAATGATCCCCGATGCTGCAGAGCTCCACACAGCTAATGGGATTCAGTCTGTTTCTGTCTCTTTGTGATGTTTAATCTTTCCACCCACATCTCTCCCTCTCTTCTACATCCCTCTCCTCATTGGTTCTCCCATTAGCAACTTCACTCCAGTGTGCGGACGGGGAGTTTAGAGACGTGTCTTCGGCTCCTGTCCCTCGGCGCACAGGCCAACTTCTTCCACCCGGTCAGGAAGAGTCTGCTCTCTGACTCATTTAAAACTAAATTAGTCATGCTGTTTAATTATTTTCTCTACGCCCTGCCTCTTGTCTTAACGCCGTGTGTGTCCTTGGCCCTGCAGGAAAAAGGCACCACCCCACTTCACGTAGCCGCAAAGGCAGGACAGATCTTGCAAGCAGAGCTTCTAGTGGTGTACGGTGCAGACCCAGGGGCACCTGACATTAACGGACGTACGCCCATGGATTATGCGAGGTACAAGTCAGAGAATACAATTTGATATTCAATGTAAAAGTAAAAACACAAAGAATAACCTGTTTTTTCTGTGTGATCTAGGCAGGCGGGTCATATAGAGTTAGCAGAGCGGCTAGTGGAGTGTCAGTATGAGCTGACGGACAGGCTGGCCTTCTACTTATGTGGTAGACGTCCAGGTAAAGCACTGCGCCACTAACATATTACTCACATGTCCATAAAGAATAAATAGAAATATTCTCTCATCTCCTTTTCTCTTTCTTATCTCCACAGATCACAAAAATGGTCATTACATCATTCCGCAAATGGCTGACAGGTAAAGACCATCATATTATTTTATCATTTTGCAAAATGCTAGTTATAATAAAGATATGGTCGGTTGACAACAAGCTGCTGATGTCTTTGCATGAAGAAACGTTGCAGTTATCTGACTTGACAGAGTCTGTCTGGCATGGATTCAGTGGTACTAATGCTGTTTGGTCTTCTGACCAGAGGGTGGCAGTATATCACATGTAACCCCACCCACAAATGAAGGAGAGCAATGAGAACACTGGTGTCCAGCAGTTGTAAAATGCCAGTAAGCTGGTGGTGCTGATGCTATAGACAGGTGGTCTGTGCTTGGTTTATTAATCCTGAGGTGCAGAAGTGCACAGTCAGTCCGTGATAAATCAACCTTAGTCTTATTTGGCTCAGTCTCTATACTGTGTGCAGGCAATGGCTGGCTTTACACCCAGGGCTGCACAGCTATTTCTCCCAGTTTTTTTTAGAACAGACATCACAATAGGGATATAAATACAATCCTCGGATTTTAACATTTTATTGGTTGTACTCTGAGGGACTATATAACCCAACCGTACATTCGCTCTTCTTTCTCTGCCAGTCACTCTCACTCACTCACTCACTCTCTCACTCAATCTATCCACAGTTAGAACAGGGCACGACTAAACGTTCTCTCTGTTCACACCAGTAGACAAAATGTCAGCGGTTGTTGACAATTCCTACTGCTTAAAAAAAAGGTTGTGTCACTTCCCGGTTGCTGTCCGACTTCACTTGCATCTGTCCTGTTCTGGTGAATGGTTTCTCAGGATGATAACAATTAAAAGCTGTTGTGGTGTGGCTTCTCCACTCCTCTGTCTCTCTGTTTTATTTTCTCCTTTTTTCTCACTCCTTTGTTCTCTCCCTTTCGCTGTGCTTGGTGGAGCCAGAGCTCGTCCTAAGTGCCCGACACAGAGGTATCTTTACTTTCCTTGTCCATTTTGATTCCTGAAATCCTGTCCTCTGCTTCTACACCTTCTAGATTTGTTTTTGAGGGAAAATATCATTGTGTTAATAAGGAACAGTTCTACAGAGTGCTTTATTTTGGCGAGCACCAAACAGTTTGGATTAAACACTCAATTTTCTTTTCACTAAACATATGCTGGATGATTAAAATTTGACAAATTCAGCTCGACTTAATTCTACAGCAATTGAACATGTACTGAGGCCTTCACAGTTTGTCTGTAAGTTTTGGTACAACGAACAAAACCAATGTGAATACTTTTTTGTGGTGCTGTCAACAGACTGCCAAATCAACAGGTGGTCACATGAATCTGGCCATTTAGAGACAGACAGCACAAAAACCTGTTCCTTATGTAAACCACAGTGAGGACTTGCTTCACACTTCAGTGCCAGTGTGATGCCAAAAGTGTGACAGTTCTAGTGATAGTACCATCCTAGTTTTTTTTTCTTTTTAACATCCCTCCTGCTGTAAATTTTAGTGTCTCTCCCTGCTCCCTTTCCAGCTAAAACCATTTCCCAGTCCTCATATCTTGTATTTTTCTTTTCTTTTTTAACTGTTGACACATCTCCCTCCCTACCTCCCTCTCCACCATTGTTATTCCACAGCACTGTTCTTACATCTGTCTGACCCTCGTCATCTGTGTTTTTTTTTAGTCTGGACCTGTCAGAGTTGGCCAAAGCTGCCAAAAAGAAACTCCAAGCGGTGAGTGTGAAGTGTGAGAATAAAATTTGGACTTTTTGTGCATGAATGCATTTCAAGTGACGGGTGTGATGTCATCATTATAGTTCTAAAGCAAAACAATTAAAACGATATCTGTCTCATTAGAAAGTAAATGTATACAGTACTGTGCAAAAGATTTAAACATTTACTAGATTTTAGGACATTTCATAATTGAATTAAATACATATATGTTTTTAGTCCATTGTCATTGTGAAAAGAAAACAAGCATTCGAACTTCGCTCAGCTTGAATTTGTATTTTACTGTCCTAACAGCTCAATAATCGACTCTTCGAGGAGCTAGCCATGGATGTCTACGATGAAGTGGACCGTAGAGAAAATGATGCAGGTAGGCGTCACCTTCTCACTGCTTATTTTGTTAGATTCTGTCCTCACTACAGCACATAAATCTGTTGGCTATAGACAATATTGAAATTATTAAAATATTAAAGACAAAAAAGTGTGAACTGTGTGTCAAAAGTAGAGAGGAGTGAATAAATGGTCCGCTGGGAAAAAAAGGCTAAATGTAGTGAGTGAGGGAGGAGAGTCAAAGTGAGGAAGTGGCTTAGAAATTCTTGAGTCTCTCTCCTCCTCCTCCTTCTTCCCCCTCTCTTTTTTTGCTCTCTCTTTTTCTTCTTCACTCTTCCTACAGCACAAGTCAATTTGTGCACTGCAGGTAAGAAACACACTCAGCCACCAGCAGTAAGAGGGCATGAAGCTGAACATTGTGTTTTAGGGATTTAGGATCTGTAATTTTTTTTTAACTGCACTTTGTTTATGTCTCCATGTAAGCGTGGGTGGATAGAATGGGTGTCTGAGTGCCTGTGTTACAGCCACGGCGACCTTGCTGCCTATATACACACACAGAGACAGTACACACACACTCAGTTTTATTTTTTGCTTCATGTTTGTCTCCAGTGTGGCTCACAACCCAGAACCACAGCACTTTGGTCACAGAGCGCAGCGCAGTGCCCTTCCTGCCAGTCAATCCTGAGTACTCTGCCACACGCAACCAGGTAAACACACGCACATGCTAATTTTGACACGCAAACATAGGGAAATTTGAATTTGTGTATTGAGGACAATGCAGAGTTTTTCATCAGGGAGAACCTTGTGTCAAAGAGAATCAGTTCTGACAGTTAGTCAGCCTCTGTATCTGTTTACTTGGGTTTAGCAGCTAAGTGTGAAATTGACAGGGGATGTTCCTCAGCTGTGAGAGAGAGAGGAGGAAATATGTAATCCATCTGTGCTTCTGCGTCTCCTCGCTGACCATGTGTGGAAGAAAAATCCCATATGTCCTCCTTTAGTTCCACTCTCATCTCTGTGTGTAAACACTCCTTTAAAACACACAAAGTTAACCCAACTTTTAGCTCTTTTTTAATCATGAATTTTGGAGTATATTGAATCAACTCTCTATTTACACAAGGAGACATTGTTAAAAATGAACCAATTTTTTGTTCCTTTGTTTTGTTAATGTAAAAATAAAAGGTTTGTGGGGTCATTGTAGGAATGGTTGTTGTCAAACATGCTTATATTAATATTATATTGTATTATATATTGGTCTTTTTGTATTTTTTATTTGTGTGTGTTTGTGCATACTCATGTGCATGTGTGTGTTTTACAACTGCTCATTATGACTGTGTATTTCCACAGTCCAATGGTAGTAGCTGACCACAGTAATCTGAGAGTCAGCGCAGCCCTCACTGTGGCTATGAACGTTTCTGCACACTGCACACTTTAAGATGGAATTTCCAGAAAATCTACTGATCGTCTAATGGTTGTTGCCACTGAATGTGTGTGTGATTGCATAACAGTCCTCAGTGCTGACTCTGGAGTCATTGTTCTCTCAGGGCCGTCAGAAATTGGCCCGTTTCAACGCTCGGGAGTTTGCCACACTCATCATCGACATCCTGAGTGACGCCAAAAGGAGACAGCAGGGAAAAGGTCTCAGCAGCCCGACTGGTAAGCTACTAGAAAGTATAGTATGAAAGTAAAAGGTTAAGTAATGAGTTAACTAAGAGTTAGTGACATAATGACCCTTTCAACTCTTGTTGTTTATCTTATCACTGTGTTTTATCAAAGTGTATCAAGTTCTTTCCTCTTACCAGATCCACTGGACCTGGGCTTCGACGATGACCAGCACGACTATGACAGCGTAGCATCAGATGAGGACACCGACAGTGAGCTGACCACTCAGAACAACAACAACACGCAGCGTAGCAACCGAGCTAAGGTACAGCTGACTTCTACTTTTGCTGATGCACCAGCAGTGCCCGTTCACTTTAACAGTCTATCGTCAGTGTAGTAGTTATTAAGCTTTTTTTTGTTTTTTTTTTGTTTCCATGCTTTCCTCTCATAAACTGCTTGTCCCAGCATGCTTTGCGGGGAGTGGCCACCGTCGGGACTGCCACATAACTCCAGAGTGACATCATCAGCTATTCTGGGTCGTTGTCAGAGAGCCATTGTTCAGCCAGGGAGAGAGAGAGTGTGTGTGCGTGTATAGAGAAGGGAGAGGAGATGGAGAAGGAGAGAAAAAAGGGTGTTGAGTTGGAGGCATAAACAACAACTAACCCATTGACCATCTACTATATGTTTAGCTCAGTTGACAAAAATGTTTGGCTTGCCACAACTCGGAGGCTTCGCTGCCATCATCGCACTCAACACACATGTGCTGCGTTATGTCCGACGACAGCAGATGTCACTTTATGTGACCGTGACAATGGAGACCCGAGCATAAATATGTATGTCATCTCTGTGAGCAGTGCTTCAGGGAGTGGTTTAAGACTTGTGTTTGAGCACGCTGTGGTGCGACAGGAAGTGTGGGTGGGTGGGTGGGTGGTGCGTTGAGAGTTGAACTAAGGCTCCACTGTCCTCGTTTGTGTACCAACTGTAGTCCGACACCGCTGACTGCAGGCCAGTCCTCACTTGCTCCCTCAGTAGAAAACTCTCTTTTAACCCGTACAAATAAACAAACATGAATGACCACGAAATTCCTAAAAGAGTAGGTTTGCGTTTATAAAATTACCACATAGATTTTGCTGCTTATATCATATGTTTCTCCACTTTTCTGTCTTTGTGCCCAATCTTTCCAGAGTATGGACTCCTCAGACTTGTCAGATGGCCCCATCACTCTGCAGGAGTACCTGGAGGTGAAGAAGGCCTTGGCCTCCTCAGAAGCCAAGGTGCAGCAGCTGATGAAAGTCAACAACAACTTGAGCGAGGAGCTCCGGCGGCTCCAGAAGGAGGTATGGAGTGTAGAGAAGGAGAAGTAAAATTTGGAGAGTCATTTTTTGAAACATGTTAAGAAATATTGTTTTTTCTCCAAGGAAGATGTCTGGATAATATATGAATCTTTGACATTAAATTTATATAATAAAAGTGTGACAATAGAATCATGTGGGAGAAGATGTCTGCTGTGTTGAAGACAGAAGACTCCTTGACAAAGACAGACTCGGCAGAGCGGGGTTGAACAAGTGATGCAGACAGAATGAGGGCAGGGTGATGGAGACGAGTTAATATTTTAACATCTTTGCAAACTGACAGGGTGTCAATTTTCTAACAGTGATGTCTGCAGAAGATGAATTTCGTGACATCTTTTCAGTGATATTTTGAAACCAAAGCAAGCAGTCGTTCCAAGTATTACAGATGCCTGTTCTCATGCTCCTGTCGCCTCTAGTTTAGTTCTGGTAGTGAAGCCTTTTTTGCTGCATATGGATTCCTGTGAGTCGCTATCATTAGCTTAATGTATTCATTAGTGTCTGCGAGTGTTGCCTCATGTGACCCATGATTCACTCATGTGCTCTTGTCTTTCCCTGAATGAGAATTTGATGTAAAAGTTCAGCAAAAGTGCATGTGTACAGGAAAGCACCTACCAGCCCATTGCACAGTAACTCACTGACCCAGTAAACCAGACCCTCCTCCATGACCTAATCCTTACCATGTAACTGACTGAAGCACCTTTACCTCACATTTCCCCCCCCCCTCCCGTATTAATCTCAGAGCATATATAATGCCCTGTGTGAGCCTTTTACTGTACATGTGATGGTTTGTAACCTTTCATCTGACTCCGCCCCCTGCCTTCCTTCCACTCCCCCCATGTCCCTCCCTTCTTCCATCCTCTCATCCCTCTCATCCCCCTGCTCCCTTCCTCCTCTCCTGTAGATCACACGGATGCAGACAGAGAACAGTGCCCTGCGGGGGGGCCAGCAGGCTGGGGGAGCAGCCGGCCATGGGGCAGGGGGACCTGGTGGAGGAGGAGGAGGTGGAGGGGGAGGAAGCCACTGGCAAGGGGGTATGATTCGTGGAGGAATAGGTGGAGGGAGTCTTGGAGGATTTGGTCCAGGTGTTGACACCCCAGGGCTCACTGTGTCCTCCTCTACCTCTCCCCACTCTCATCCCAACCGGCGAGACCGCCAGGCCTTCTCAATGTATGAGCCAGGGGCGGCCCCCGGCCCCACGGCCCTTGGTCCCCCAGCCCTGGATTCCCTGGCAGCCCGCCTGCAGCCCCTCAACACACCCAGCGTAAGTTAGAACACCCCAGCCCCTTTTCTACCTCCAGTGGTGGCCTTGATTGGTTCTTTTTTCGGCCTGAATGATTGGTCTCTATTTCCCTTTACCTTTTCCTCCTCTTCTCTTCCTGCATCTCAGTTCCCGGTCCTTCTCTCGAACAGGTCCAGTTGTGCACGATCCTCCTTAAAAGAGACAACTGTGGCATTGTTTTTACAATGACACATTCATTATTAAAAAGGGGGGGGGGGGAGCACAAGTGTGTCCTGGAGGAGAAAGATGTAAAATAAACACTCTTCTGGCCGTTTGGTTAATGCTTCTCTCTATAGCCTGCTCTGCAACCTCTTTTCTTGGTCTTTTTAATAACCTTTCACCCCTGAGGTAACTCCTGGAGTCATAACTAGTAAATATGTTTTGTTTTTTTCCCACTTTTATTGGTCAGTTTATGCTTCTGTAGTTACGTTTCTTGTGTACCCTTTACCAATACTTCTAAAATGTTTGTATTTCAAAATACATGTTTTAATACAACAAGCAACATATTTGGCTTTCAGAATATTAAAATATAGCCCCAGATCTACCCTATTCAGGTAAGCGCATTAAAAAAAAAATTCCCCATACAGAAGACTATCAGACATTTTATCAGCCAAAGACAAGTTTGTATATGTCTATATATATATTTATATATATTAATTTCCACATATTCCACTAGAGGGAGCCAAGGTACCAACATTGGTACACATGCCACAGTTTGGGAACCACTGACCAAATTCAGTTTCAGTTAGGAACAGGGGAGTTGTTATTAAAAATATATAATTTAACATTAATTTATGTCAATATTTTGAACGTTCTTAAGGTGATTTAATTCAAACAAAAAGGACTAAAATGTTTCAAAAATTTTCAAAGTATTTATATTTTGACCATAACAATACAGATGAATTAAACCGACCCATCCAATTAATAGCTACAACTGGTCAAAGTTGACAGATTTTTCGTGCACATGAAAAATATATTTACCAGCAGGATTGTTCGTATATTTTACCATAACAATCGTGCACGTCACTGGTGATGCAGAGTCAGTTCAGCAGTCACACCACGGACATGTCTGATGACAAAGGTGTATTTACAGAGTAACACTGACACAGAAGCACAAAGGTATAACCTGTCCTTATTATTATGTTAAACAAACTTAAATCCTTGATGGATGACAAGCCAGATATTCAGTTCACTGTCTGTACACAAAAATTTACCTGTTTGTCTGTTTTCTGTCTGTCTGTCTGTCTCTTCACCTGTCTGTCCTTTGCTCACTGCAGTACAGCCGTGCATCCTCTGGATGTAAGCATCTTGTCTGTCATTGCATCGTTTGTCATTCCGTCTTTTAAGTGTAGGATCCTCCACCCTTTGCACCACTTCTGCTTATTATGCATCCTAATACTGGAGATCAACATTAGTCTGTAGTATGTGTTGTCTTTCTTTGATGTCCCATGTGATGTGCTGCCGCTCATCACTGTGGTTAGTCTTGCCGCGTGTCCTGCGAAGACATTTTAGTCTCGAGAGGACAATGGTCGAGCTGCTGAGTTGATCTGGCGCTGCTCTCACTGGCTCCTCCATTTTGCGTTTTGACAGATTATAAACACATGTCTTCTCTCTTTTTCCTCTTTCCTGTTTCATCGTCCATTTTTCCTGCAATTCTTTAATTTTCTTCTTTTTATATCTTTCTCATGTCATCTCTGCCCCACCATCCGTCTTTCTCTCTCCATTCTGGTCTGCTTCTCTCTTCCCAGGTAAGGAAGGGTAGTACGGGAGCTCCAGCACCGTATGGAGGCCCGTCTGCATCTATAGAGGTTGGCCGATATATGGTGAGGGTTTTTTTTTTTTTTTTTTTTAGATCAATCACTTTGTTTCTTTTTCAATTTTAAATGTTATGTTTTTTCAAACAAACATAACATCCTAACATGTTGGAGAAAAGTGAAATCCCAGTGGTAACAAACATGTGTCCATCCACAGGTCTCTAAACCAGACAAACATGGCAGTGGAACGGACAGCGATTATGACAACACACAAACATATGACCACTCACTAAGGTCAGACTCACAGCAACATACTTAGTTCATACAAGTTCATCAGCTTCTTCCTCCAGGTGATGACTCGTTTATTTGTTTTTTTTCACAGTATGGGCCGCAGCAGTGAGGAGGAGGGACGCGTCGATTCAGAGGAGGGTGGCGGTGGGGACACTTGTGAGCCAGACCCCACTCTGCCCTGCACAGAGGATGTCATACTGAAGACTGAGCAGGTGACCAAGAACATCCAGGAGCTGCTCAGAGCCGCTCAGGAGTTCAAACACGACAGGTAGGTGGCAGACAATAGGCGTGAAGGAGATTTTGGCAGCTGCATGTACTGTGTTGGGACAGCTGTTGAGAATATGATTTTCTTTTCTGACAGATAAATGTGATAGAATATTAAAAAACAAAACAAAACAATATTTCAGTCTGCAAGATTACTGTAGGATTACAGTGACCCAAAGATTAATTAAATGATGTGATTGTGCATCTTTTTCTCCTGTGACACACTCACAAATGAAAGATATTTTAGTCAAAATCATTGAAAAAGAATACATAGAACTGGCAAAAACCAGCAGGTCCACCAGTCTCCAGCGTTTTCTAGTTTAACAGTGACATTATTTCCTGCACAGCTTTGTTCCATGTTCTGAGAAGATCCATTCTGCTGTCACTGAGATGGCTTCACTTTTTCCTAAAGTAAGTTTGAACTTATGTTTTATTTATTTTTTCAATTATAACACAATGTTATTGAAGACACTGCACTCACCTTCTTTTTTTTTTTTAATTTATCTTAATAATTTCCTCATTTTAAAATATGTCTTTTAAGACACTAAGTACTGTGGGTCTGCCTCCCTCCTCACACTTCACCCCACCAAGCCAAACTCCCACTAAAAGGAAGCTCTGTAGCCACTCCTGAAAAGATTTACCAACTTTAATTTTCAAGTTTCTCTCATGTTTCCCTCCGGCAGACATGTTTTCAGTGGGAGTCAGCGTCTGTGTAGTAATCTGGTTCCTGGCTCTGAGTACTAAGCCCTGTAGCTCTGCAGCATAAAATTACACTTTATAAAAAATACCTTTGAGTTAATATGCTTCCCTGACTCAGCCTGTGATAACACAGCATCTTTTTGTAGAAATTATCTTTATTGTGAATAGAATTCAGTCAGCCAAATATAATACATAAAGTAAGAGGAAGAGCTGTAAACAGAGTTAGTACACATGCCAGCCCTAGGGGGGCGGGGGGGAGGCAGTAGACAAACAGGCAGTTTGATAACAATAAAGTTATATATATAATATTGCAAACACAACGAATGTTACACATTAATTCCATTAATGTCTCCTTAGCGTCCAGCACTAGACGCCGTCCACTCCTCCCTCCGCCTGTTGGCTTCCAGTGCCTCACGGTTGCAGGTGGAGTGTCGTAAGGCCGCACCTTCAGAGCCCGGGGCCCCCACGGTGGACTACCAGCTCCTCACCCAGCAGGTCATCCAGTGCGCCTACGACATTGCCAAGGCAGCAAAGCAACTGGTCACAATCACCACACGTGAGAAGAAACAGTGATTCTGCAAATGCATGGAAAGAGAGGGAAGAGGGCGAAAAAAACAGATCAATGCATGGAAGGGCCAAGAGGGAACGGAGGGGTTTCTGGGAAAGAAATAAAGAAGGATAGTACGATTACCACAATGATGAGAGATCAAAGGACAGGAAGTGGCCAAGAAAATCACAGGCAGGATGAAGACCGGGATGGGAAATAAAAATGGAAAGTGGAACGGAAGAAAGAGGATCCAGATGGAAGCACTAAGTGTTCGCAGGAGAACACAAGGACCGAAGGAAGAGAAAATCCACAAGTGTGGGAGTGAAAATAGGGAAGAACAGGAGTAGAAGAGTTCCACCGAGGCCACCGGCAGCAAAGTGAAGAGTCAGAATCAGATGTGAGTCCTGAGCCGTTTATCTGTGATGAGCATATGTGAAAATCCGACGGTGGCCATGTACAGAGAAACTGGATCCAGAGATGTTACTGCTTTATTTATTTCTCACCCCTCGCTGGTCGTCCCTGCCTCTCCCTCCCCCGGTGCACCAGGAACACAGGACATGTCTGCCCGTTTGCCATGTGAGGAGTCAGGACTCCTTGCCCCTCTCCTCTCCCTCTCTGACCTCCACCGTGTCCAGTCCCGTCCCATCCTGTACTATGCGGGATGAATTCCAGCTGCCAGGGAAGGATCACCTGCAGTCCGTCTCCCTTCACCCCAAACACCTCACCCAGGATGCTTTGGGTAATATTTTGGGAGGATGCTCCAGCCGTTCTCTGACCTCTCACCTTCCCTCAATCTCAACCCCTCCACCCTCACCCCTCACCTTCCGCAACCCCCCGACCCCTAAGGTGTTGGTGGTACACAGCATGATCTGTTAGTATTTGAATTTTCTTTCCTCTCTCTTGGCTTTCATTTGTTTAACTTTTATTTTTCATGCAGAGTGGTTTGGTCTGGCCCTCTGAGAAGAAACCTTACTGACTTAAAAGAAAAAGAACAAAACACTTACACTGGAATTATTGTGATTTATTACGTTGTTTATCATGTCCATGTTCGTTTTCTTTGTATTGATATTTTTTACTGACTCCTGATTTAACTCTTTATGTATGTTTATTTCTTTGACTCAATTACTATGATCTAATTTACTGCAATAGGGAGACAGTGGGTTGGGAGAGCATGTGCTGGACCTCAGACAAACGTGCACACACAGGAAAAAGACATCTTTTCTCAAGCGCTCCATTTCTAAGAAATAGTCAGTGATTTTTTTTTTTTTTGGTCATATTTTAATGTCCTGTGGCCAAGGATTGAACAGTTGCCAAAGTGGGGGGAGTGGAGCATTCAAGGGAAGTTAGTTTTTGACATCCCGTCAAACTGAATATTCATGGTGGGTTTAATCATTGGAACTGGATCAAAATGCTTATATTCCTTTCCTGTATCCTCTTCTGACTTTTCGTGCTTGATTTATGCTTAAGTGTTTGCCTCATATAACACAATCGGTGAAATCATCTCAGAATTAATCTCACGGTCGTTCTTTGTGCCAAGCAGGACGCTAACACTGAGCTAATTTGTTCTGGCGTTGCTGTAGAGCAGTGTGTGACTGACAGAGCTGTCGTGGAGCAGCCACTATTTACATGCATGTTACTACAAACACAGGGATATGGATGAGGAGATACTTGTATGTTGCAGTTTTTATGTAGCTCTGTGGAAGGCGCCAGTGTACATACACTACATGAAACTCACTGTATAGTTCATTTGAGAATGAAAAATTGTTTTGTTTTGTTAAATTGATTAATTCACCTCAAGTGTGCTTGATTTACCTTTTTTGCCATGTTTGTTTACACTGTGGCGTGCACAATTAATGCCACGGTCTTTGTCCCCCTCCCTTCACCCACCCTTTGTCGTGGCCTGCTGATGCGGGGGGCCACAAAAGTTGTCATGTTGAGCTAACTCTAAACTCTGCGAATGTCATACAGTCATCGTTGGGAACAAATTTTCGTATCTTTTTGCTTTTCAAAAAAAAAGCGCACTTTTTTTTATTGGTTTAAATCCTTCTGCTCTGTCCTGAAAACACTCAGATTCTGTCAAAACTGGATTCAGTATTCACTATTCCTCAAAATAATTTCTGCATCTCACTGATTTGTGATCCTGCTCATGACTCAGGATATTCATTTGAGTTTTTCTCCAAAATCGACAACCTCAGCCTACGACACAGTACATCTCATTTTCAGTTTGTTAATATTGTTTTGCTGCCTTTTGTCAACAACAAGGACAAAAAAAAACAACCTAACAATTAATTAAACATTATTAATTCAAGGAGATCTGATGACCAAAGGACATCTTCGCCTATTTGATTCGATCATTGCGGGGCCTTCTGATTCTGGCTGTTCCTCAGTGTTTTGCTTCTCTAAAGTGTCATTGGAATTTTTTTTTTCATTCTCCTGTTCCTGCCAAAACCAGTAGTGTCCAGATTGATCGTAATATGTTTTTCCTGAGAAATGCTTTTGCACAGTATCATCATCTCTGGTTTAAACTGGCCAAGTTGCAGTAAATCAATTTACTGCTGGAACATCAGAAAACACTAGGGGGCAGTGAAAGATTTCATCCCATTGACCCAAATTGCCCAACTTTTAGACTAGAGCCATATGATATATATATATAAAAATATATATGAACATATATTTTCACACTATATTTTATATTAAGCTATAAGTTGCGAGGTTATGTTTGCAAGATATTTATGTCGGCTTAAGTGGAGCTTCAGGCCGAAATCCTCATTTATCTTAGGTCTCGAAACCTGATGTACTTATAAATACTGCAAGTCTTGAAGAAGAGGTTCTGTGGTTCCAACCACACACACACACACGTACGTTGTAGTCCTATTGTAGAAACAGATGTTGGAGAGCGTGAGGGCAACAGTTTGATCAGGTGTGGTCTCAGTTGCACTATTTTCAAACACCAGCTGGATGGACTCTTTCGAGGCTTTTTGTTCAGGTACAGAAGGTGCAGGAGGCGGGGGGCGTTGTGAGATAGGGGCAGTTAAAAAACGGTCTGAAGCGCCCTTTTTTGCTCAGCACTTACAGTCATCTCAAAACAAAGGGGAAGAAGCTCCGAAGGTGCTCACGGCTTACAGGTGCTTCCTCAGAGTTGTGGACACTACAGTTTGCCTCTGTTATGTGAATGTTGGATGCTTGTGTCAATTTTTGTCCAACACACTTAAAAAAACAAAAACAAAAAAAAAACCCATTGCACCCTCAACATCTCACTGTTGGACCAAGCCTTTCAGAAATACAGATGTCACACACTTACAAACAAACACACACACACACACACTACTGGCAGTGCACTGTGGCCTGTCACTGTCCCCGTGTTTCTCCACAGCTCTACCCTTTGGGAGATGGGTGAGGGGAGAGTTACCTTTTAACAGAAGACATTAAAACTGTATAATGTAGTGAAGACAAACAGTGACTAAAAAAAAGGTCAATCGTAATGGAAAACTCATAAGCTGTACATTTGTAATAAAATAATAAAACAAGTTAATTGTCCCGGCTTTATCTGCGGTGCTTTTTTTTTCACGATCAAAAGAATGTGATGTATAGTATTTTCCAACTGAAACTCAATCCATTTTCTTTTTATTTCATCAGTTGTGACACTAACCCGTGGAGTTTAACAAAAAAGAAAACACTTTTTCATTGAATTATTTTTAATGTGAACGATTCAGAACCCATTTAAAAACACAGCACCTGTGTACCATTCAGAGACCGTGTTGCTTAGAACAGCAACCTACATCACACTGGTGAAAAGGTGAAACCTGGAGACGTGGATGTTGATTACATGTATTGGATACTGCACATTTATAACACAGTGAATTTGCAGAACCTGTTTAAATATAAAACTAATACAAAACCATTGTACAATTTAAAAAAACCGTGAAGCCTCTCTTGGAGTTTTGATGCCATCCTTTGACTGCTCAGCTCCAGGTACAAGTTTATCCAGCAGCACCACCACAGCTTCTCTCAAGCCTAATACACACTATACCTCCCCCTATGGACTAATAGTGCCATGGCACACACTAGGACATGTACAGTCTGATTTGTTCTCACAGAACAGAATGCTTGACTTTGAACCACTGTCCTTTCCAATCTCGTGGACAAACCACTCAGGACTGAGGTTACTACTTATGTCTGTACGTGATCATGTGTCTACTGTTAATGAAAACCTCGGTAAATAGTGGAAGGATTCTTTTAAGGGAACTCATCTGAACTCGAGGAACTCGGCAGGAGAACATATTCTTTTCTTCTGCCCCTCTTGGGTCTCCTCTTGGCAATTTTCAGCCTCCTGTGGATCACATCTAGAAGACAGAGACAGTATGGTGTTCAGAGATGGACAATGAAAAAATACAAAACATGAAAGGTGTCACAAGATTGGACTGTAAAATGTAACTCCACTGACTTTTCTTTTAGGAAACACAAACATCTGGCCTCTGTATTGGGTCATCATTTGTCTGGAGCTCATTTTAAAGACAGAACTAGTTAAAGCAAGTTTGGTGTCGTTTCTTGTCCACTTACCCGCCACGCTGTCATAGTCCTGTTGTGGATTGTGCCAGTAAAGACTTGGCGCCGTCCTCCAGTTGCGGTAGAGGCGAGTGTGAAGCACAGACAGTGCCAGGAGGACCAGTAGGAATCCCAGAGCTGCTGCTGCCCACACTGCCTCATCAGTCCTGGGGGTCCTGGGCAGACCCTGTCTCACAGCAGCATCAGGTCCTGAGGCCTGGGTACAGTAGCACTGCTCTCCCTCTCTGCAGTTGTCACATTCACCGCTTTTCTTCTGGTATGTGGTTGTCCCTGGGTGTGAGCGAGGATTTTGGGATTCAGTATCGGGGGATTTGTGTTCACCTTTGGGATCTGTTTGCTTTATTTCCAACTCTCTCTCCTTTACGTCCACCATTTCATTGTCCTTCTCTTGTCGCTCTGCTGTGAAGTGATTATTAGAGTTTCTCTCTTTAGAGTCTGTACCTTCATCTCTGGACGTTTGAACCACGCTGTCAGACTTCACATTGTTGTTCCCCACGGTTTTCACAACAGCTGGAATTCCCTCTACGCCAGCTGTAGAATTTGTGCTTTTAACACTTGGTTGTCCTTCATTTTGTTTTGAGTCATTTGACTCATGTTCAACTGCTGACATATTTGACACCAAGTAAGTTGTTGGTTGGGCTGTGAGGCTCTGATTCTGACTTTGCAGGACAGACTTTGATCGTCCGCCCTGTGGATGAGACAGATCTGTGAGATTTCTGTTTTCTGGAGGAGAAATCTCAGATTTTCCAAGTGAGTTGGAATTTTTGCGGCCTTTGTTTTTCCCTCCTCGTTTGGTTCCGTCAGTCAGGTTACCAGAAAAGGCTGATGTGTGTTTTTTGTCGTCTTCATCGCCTCTATCCTTCACACTCATCTGTTCTTTTCTGGCAGCAGCTCTCATTCGTCTGATCCTGAGTTTCTCTTCCTTTTTGTTCAAGCGTTTCTTTTTTCCGCTGGACTCCAGATTTGTCTCCTTTGCTTCACTGAGCAGAGAAGAGATGGTCTGCTCGCAGCACTGCCTCAGAGAGACCTGGGAATTCACAGTAAAAGCTACTGAGAGACACTTTCTCTGCTCTTCACCGAGGTGCATCTAACTGCATATACGTACACACATACCTTGGTTCTGGGCGTCTGCTGCTTCGCAGGCTTGGTGAGCAGCAGGTTGTATTCTCTGATGTGCTTGACATCACTGAGATCATTCCTTGTGGTCGTCGTGCTCTGCAGCCAATCACAGACGTCCGGAGAAGCCACAGCAGACACCTCCAACGTGCGACCCCAGGTCACCAAAGCTATTGGCTGAACACAGGCAGCAGTCAACACTCGACTGAACTCAAAAGTAGTCTAATGTATATTAACATATACATCAAGATATTTAAAAAAAGAATAACAATAGGGTGTCAACATTATACACAGCTTTAATTCCATGAAATATTGTCATCAGGTACAACTGTTAATATCACTGAAATGCCTGTACTCCTCCATATCTCACCAAGTGTGGTTTAAGCCATGGATATGCAGTGATAATGTAGTCTGACAAACAGGACTCTGCTAGGGCAGACAAAAGGTGGCGCTCATGCAGAGTAACACATGGGTGGTGGAGAATGACAGTAGCTCCATGCTGGAAAATAAACAAGTGTTATGTATGATCATTTAATTTATGAGATTATTGTGTAAACTGTAAACTGGTTCTGAATTATGATCATTCAATTTATGAGATTGTGTAAACTGTAAACTGGTTCTGAATTTTCTAAAATGACAATGGTGTTTTTTAAAGCCTAAATAATTGTGTTTAAAAAACAGGATATACTAAAGGTGGTGCCACTTACATGTAGGTTATTGAGCCACCTTTGAGGAGGACAGAACAAGTACTCTCCACTCTCTGCTCCAACTGGTCTGTACGCTCCACTGCACAAACACAAATGAACAAAAACCCAAACAAGGTCACGTAAATGGAAGTCCTTGACAGACAAACAAAAACAATGTTCTGGCTTTGACTGCAGGTGTATTAGCTGTCTAAAAGACACAGCACGTGTGTGAATGAATGAATGAATGAATGAAAAGTGCTGCAGAGAAAGTAGGTGTGAGTGACATGTCTGTCAAGACCCCGATTTACCTGCTGGGAATGGTATGGTTGTATGAGATTGATTTATTCATACATAACTTCTCCACTCGCTGCAGAGGGAAAAAAACACTTTGTTAAAATGCCTATAAGTTTATCTTAAATGCTTATCTGCAACGGTTAAATAGACATATGACACAAGGTTCAAAGGTGGACGGAATATTCAATAAATACAGCAGATGTTCTTTGAAGTGTTTGCCTACCTCAGGTTTATGCTCCGTGTCAATACTGTGTTGTTTCTGTAAACACATGAAGACTGGATGAACAACTGCAGAGAGATCGTAACATCGTGAACAATAGCCGTTGTCTAACAAATAAAGAGAATTTGTGTAACAATACAACTGTATAAATGTTATTTGATATATTGTCTAACAAATAAAGAGAATTATAAAACTGTATAAACGTTATTTGATATTATTGTATTCTTAATCATTCCTTCTTTTTGGAAACACTTTAATATGTACATTTTAACACTTCATTTGCAAAAATCAATCATTTTGATGAAAAATCCTTCTATTGTATATGTATACTTGTGCAGAATGGTTTGTTACTTTTTCAATTTTTATCGCGATAATACTATATACGATATTACAATAATATCGTATATATTATAATTCATTTTCTGCAGTAGCACTAACGTGATGATAAAGATAATGTTTATACATTCATAAACACCTGTGTGGACTCTCCATGCCATGTAGACGCTGCACAATCCCGATACAGAGCATCCTCCGGGAGGTCCTTGTCCAAAAAGAGCTGTCTCACACACAGAGCACCAAATTATTACAGTAGCTACACATGTTTACATCCAGCACCAACAAAAACAAATAAACGGTACCTTTCCACTGTCACATCCCGGCCACGGAACCTCGGACACGCCGCACCGACACACACTGATCCACAGAGCGGACACGACGGCCACTGTAAACGGCGAGGACGTGCTTTGGCCCCGCATGGTAAACACGGACCATTCGTTCAAATGTGATACGAGCGCTAACTATATCCCATGGCTTATCTGTGGTCCTGTAGCTACAGACGGTTAGACGGAAAGAACTGTTCTCCGGTCTGGTCCCATTACAGCTCCGCAGCGATGAGACGTCGTTTTAAACCCGAACCACAACACGGTGACGTGTCTGTCGTTTCTCACAATTTAAATTAACATCAGGTAGATGTGCTACATTATAACCGAAAACGATAAGTGAGGACTTTGTTGTTCATTAATAATAAAAAACAGCTAAAAGAAAGTGTTCTTGGTTCATTAACAACTACTCAAATTCATAACACACGTCAAGCTGGCCTTGCTGTTGAAAGATTTCCTTCAAGTCAAGCATCCGTGTCTTGTGAATTAGCTATGGTACTATCGTGTAGTGATTTTTTTCTTTCGGTAGTCCTTACAAATCATCATATAAATTTAAAAAAAGAAAAAAAAACTTAATGTTACAGTAATTTACATTAGTGTTACCATTACAGTATCACCATTATTTCATACGAATATTTCTTTCTTTTAATTTGAAATTAAACCCATATTTCCGGAATTGTTTGTATGTCATTGCAGCTTGACGTTTTTGGGGAACTACGGAAGCTCTGACGGTAAAAATGAAACGTCACTTTGCTATTTCCCTGTTTATCCACTGGGAGGCGACACAACACAATATTGTGTTAAAATACGATTATCCACAAGTACAGTATAATAGTAGTATTTAACTTACTTCAAACGTATGTTTTTTATTTTAAATAAAACACCTCTGTCACTGGTAAAGTTTGTTATTACCTAGGTTGACTTGAACTAACTTGAGTATGACATATTAAAATATACTTTCATTTCTTTATAATTATGGGGAAAAACAAACTGTGCTTGATGCTTTAAACAGTTTATTCAAGCACTGTATTAAACCTCGTTGTACTCAATCGTTGGACTTTGTATTCACATAATAAAAGCAGCGGCACAGGCAGTGAAACTGGCATTACCTGTTGACACAGGTGAACCAGCCATTCAAGCTTCTCCTCTCAAAACACACGGTCATTACTGCTGCCTTCAAAATAAAACAAAATGCAAATTAAAAGTCAACCACGAAGGCCAGTGGTGTATTTGTGTCCATCTCTCGGAGAATAGTATTTCATAAAACAACTAGACTTTCAAATTACGTGATGAAGAAGTGTTTATTTAGCTCAATAATTAAATGTGTTGTGGGACTTATTTTGAAATGTTGGAGCCGATCGCAAGACGACATGTCTTGTTTTCCTTTTCCCCCCACGTAGAAGTTGCGCTTGACACACCCACATACCCACAGCTTGATATAAAACTGTTCAGGTGGTTTAGTCATAGGAGACCTGAGTACACAGACAGAGAGAACTGTGTCTGTATGGAGTCCACCCTCCCAAAAGGTTTGCCTTTTTAAAAAAAATGAATATTTATCTAAAAGTAAATAGTTACAAGTACTTTTAGTATGTGTTTATGGAAAACAATTGCATTTGACTTTATTTTTCTCTAATCAGCAGTAGTAGCAGCAGGCGGGGCTAATGTTTAGCTCTTTAGTTTCATACAAAGTTTAGTGAAGTTCTTAACACACCTTAAACAAAAAATACTTTTCTCTTCTCTCTAATCTCTTCTGTTGTGAGGGGTGTGGTACAAACTCCCAGTGTTGCAATAGCTCAGTATTTGAAACTTTATTACAACAAATACCATATAAAAAATGTCACTATTCTGTTGGAAAATTTACTCCAGTCTCAGGAAGTAATGGTTTATTATCTTTCTAAAAATAGGGCAAAAAGGAAGCACGCAATGCTAAAGACAGTGTAGCAGGCTTGGTTGCCACGACACTTTGTAAATAGACTTTACTGATTTTTAGATATGCATGTTCATGCGTTCTCACATCTTTTCTGCTGATCAGCTCCAGGTGGGGCAGACACCGTCACCATAGTATGGCCGTCCGACCCACCTGGTCGTCTGCGTCCACTTATTGAGGAAGCAGAGCTTGAAGAGATTCCAGTGGGTCAGCCCTCAAGAACAAGAAATGAAGAGGTGAGCATCGCTGACAGATACAAAGGAAACACATGTCATTCATTTTAATGTCTGTTATGCACCTGCTATAATTGTTTAACAGTAATTCAAAGTATTTCAAAAAGTATATATGTGTACTGCTGTATATATACTGTACTTCCTGCTTAACTGAGAAGCTGTGACCTTTTTTTTCTCAGACCATAGAGCCACACCTGAGTTTACAGAACTGTTAGATTAGCCCTTATACAGCCCCCTCTTTCTCTCTCTCTCACTCTCTCTGTTTCTCTCTCTCCCCTCTTCTCTAATTCCCTTCTAGTTTGCTGCAATACAATGATTGCCTGTGATTTGCTAGTTACAAAATTACCCTTATTAGCTTGTTATGGGCCATATGAATTATATTATATTTTTATCTTTATGCTTGAACAGAATCCCAGATTAACCCCCCCCCCACACACACACACACACACTGTAAATTTACTGCAATAATCATTAGGACACATAATAAAAACAAACATTGTGAGTTTCAGGTTAAAAAAAAAATCACATTGTTTTTTCTCTTCTTGTCAACAGAAGGTTTACTCATTTGACAGCTCCCTGTCCTCTGATGACAGTGAGGACGAGGGTATCGGCAAGAAAAAGAAGAAAAAGAAAATAAAGAAGAAGAAGAAGAAAAAAGTAAGACACTGTGAACCATGCGTGTATTAGATTACTGTATTATATTATCAATGCTTGGTTGAATGTGTGACTCCAGGCTGCACGGATGAGGCTACTTTGTATAAATCATTACACCATAGTGAATCTGACTGAAGAGAGAAGAACATTATGGGCTGTGCAGCCTGTCAATCAGCAACTGTCATCCCTGCAGCTTGTCACGGTGACTAACAACATCGTCAGGATGGGTGTGTCTGTATTTAGTCTGTGTTTATTTTACTGAAATATTTGCCTGTGTAGATTGTTGTGGTTCAAACACCTACAAGTGTTTGTAGAGCCCTTCCCTCCTGCTGCCAGCTCTAGCGCCCCCTCATGCATATCTGAAAAATATATCTCATTTCAGATGTGTGTTCTGTTTAATGTCTAACATGCATGGGTTGAGTAATATCCCTCCTCTTCATCTATACACAGGATTCCAGTTCTTCATCATCATCCTCTTCATCATCATCTTCCTCATCATCATCTTCATCCTCCTCATCCTCGAGCAGCTCGTCAGACAGCGACAGTGAGGTGAGTGGCATGTTGAGCTGCGCTCCTCCGCAGCTGTTCAGAGGAGCGTCACCTCCTCTCAGCACACCGTCCTGCTTCAACATGTCACAAACAGGTTGGAGTTGTCAAAATTCCTCTCTCCACCGCAAGCATTCCCTGATGTTTGTGTTGATCAGTTGTTGACACACATTAGTGATGGACACACAGCTCCTGTAAAACACTTAGTGTTGAGATCACAAGTATTTCCACCACAAAGGTTTTGAGGAAACTGTGGAAAGGTTGAAGAGTTCCGTTTTTGACAGTTGTCCACAAAGGTTTTAAGGAAACTGTGGGGTTGAAGAGTTCCGTTTTTGACAGTTGCTCAAATTGAGAACTTTGCTCTTGCACCACTGAAATCAAATGATTTGTCACATGTACAAACTATTCCACAACAGAGCGGTTGAGACAGAATGTCACTAATGAATATAAAATTGCATGTTTGGGGGGAGGTATTTAAAACTCTAGTTATACATCTATAAACAAGTATATGGCTTGAGTGCAGGAATAAAGGAATATTCCTATTTATATCACCCCTCTGACCCCCTCCACCCCCCCAAAAAAAACAGGTCATTTTTCTAGTTTTGGACCTTCATATTTCTGCAGTCACATGGCTGCTTTGTAATATTTTCTGCGGGTGTGGTTGAACTTTCATGAGTCTCAAGAAAAAGCAAGTGACTCTCACAAGATAGATGACACACACAAGAAAAAGAGAAAAAAGTTATTTCACAGTAATGTGAAATAATCTGGTTCGACACTGGCACCAACTTCACAGTGTGTGATAAGCTCAGCTATAAAAGAAAAAAAATAGTGGATTTCAGTTGGTATCAGAGTGAAGACAGAAACACGCCCTGTGATACCATGGGAAACACAACCAGTATCAGAGGAAGCCGTGGCAGTAAAATCACAACTCTGTGTGTGTAATATTTAAATTTGTCCAGTGTTAGTTTCGGCTGTGTGACTGAAGCAGGTGTAAATGCCCTTGTCTCACCATAGAGGTTATTGATCCTTAGTATTAATATTATAGTGGTTTCATAGTGGTTGGATTAATAAAGTTCAACGTTTTTAAAAAAAATATTATTCCTTAATTGACAGCTTTTTAATGCATTTTATTTTGATAACTTTTTGTTTTGTGTTTTTAGGATGACAAGAAGAAAAAAAAGAAAAAGGACAACAAGAAGAAGGATCATAAGGAAATGGAAGAGTACGTCTGGGGCAGTGTTCTCATCGATGAGGCTGGTAAGACCAAGTGTTTCTATTAATTACAATAATTGGATTTGAATGAATGGACACAGTGCATGTAGGGCAGATGCAGAGCAGCTTCAGCAGGTTAGTGTGATTGTTTAGGTGTAACTGACATTTTTTTTTTTGTCTGTTCACATTCCACTACTGTTAAAAAGTTCAGAGGTCAGTGAAGAATGTAGTGACGTTTGTTTGAAGCAATGAACCTGTAGTTTTAGATGAAGTGATTATTCATTGACGTGCTATATTCTCCTATCTGAAAACAGGTGCTGTATTATTTTAAAACTGGTTGATTAACAGTTTAATGTGTGCACCCTTACATACAGAAATATAACAAAAAAACACATTCAAATATTTAATATTCAAATTTTGTACAGCTCCCCATGACAAAATAGAGAGTGTGTGCGGCGAAGGTCTGAAGAACTTGGTAAGATAAAAAAAATTCATATTTTATTGATTTATTTATTTTCTGACCAGATTTTTGTTTATGATCCATCCATTCGTTTTGTTTATTTATTTATTTTTTTCCCATCAGGATATCTACTCATCGGATGAAGTTGTTTATGATCCATCCATTTGTTTTGTTTATTTATTTATTTATTTTCCATCAGGATATCTACTCATCGGATGAAGAAAGTGACAAGAAAAAAGAGAAAAAAAAGAAGAAAGACAAAAAGAAGAAGGATAAGAAAACAAAAGACAAGAAGGAGAAGAAAAAGAAGAAGAAGGTGAATGGAGTTCACTTTAGTAATACTTTTACTAGTTATTATTACCATCGTATTATTACTTATTATTAGAGCACAGAACTGTATTTTATGTATGAACCGCTGTTCGTCTCTTCTTCCAGGAGTCTTCGTCCTCTGAATCATCTGACAGTGAGGATGAGAAGAAGAAAAAGAAGAAAAAGGACAAGAAGAAGAAGAAGAAGAAGAAGAAGAAGGTGAGTTACAGTACACTGTGACTGTCACTGAGGTCATTGACCTTTTATTAATAATGTTGGTCAATATTGTATTTGTTCTTTTGTCTGTCCCTTCACAGGACTCCAGCTCCTCTTCCTCCGATAGCTCTTCCTCCTCTTCATCCTCTGAATCATCTGACAGTGATGATGACAAGAAGAAGAAGAAGAAGAAAAAGGATAAGAAGAAGAAAAAGAAGAAGAAGGTGGGTTACAGTAAACGGTGTGACAGTCACTGAGGTCGTTGACCTTTTATTAATCACTTTGGTCAATATTGTATTTGTTCTTTTGTCTGTCCCTTCACAGGACTCCAGCTCCTCTTCCTCTTCATCCTCCTCTGAATCATCTGACAGTGAGGATGACAAGAAGAAGAAGAAAAAGAAAAAGGACAAGAAGAAGAAAAAGAAGAAGAAGGTGAGTTACAGTAAACGGTGTGACAGTCACTGAGGTCGTTGACCTTTTATTAATCACTTTGGTCAATATTGTATTTGTTCTTTTGTCTTTTCTTACACAGGACTCCAGCTCCTCTTCCCCTTCATCCTCCTCTGAATCATCTGACAGTGAAGATGACAAGAAGAAGAAGAAAAAGGACAAGGACAAGAAGAAGAAAAAGAAGAAAGACAAGAAAAAGGTGAGGCACAGTGAATGTTTCTGTCAATCAGTCTTGAAACTTTTTGTGTTAATGCTGAATCACGCTTTGCTCCGGTGACTACGCAGGATTCCAGTTCTACGTCATCATCCTCATTTATCTGACAGTGATAAAGACAAGAAAAAGATATTTTAAAATACTTTATTGACAGTTGATGTAAAACTGTAAAACACAAAGCTACATCAGAATGTAGTGCTCCTCAGGAGTCTACTGTTGGTCAGTGTTAATGATCCAGTGGAAACAAAACTCCAGTCTGGCTGTCACACTCTGACACCTCAGGATCAGATAACACTTTCCTCCAGACACCAAGTTACATTACCAAGAAGGATCAGATAACACTTTCTTCCAGACACCAAGTTACATTACCAAGAAAAAAGGTAATAAGTTGATGTAGGAACTGTGCAGTTCACTGCCAGCCACCTGGCACAGTAGGTTCTCAGGTCAATACTGTGTGTGATCCTGTCAACGGTCCCCCATTCATTACTGATGCTTTACTTATGACTTAGATGTCTAAACATGGAAAAAGTAGTGAGTCATCGCTGTCAGTGTCTTATGAAAAAGAAGAAAAAGAAAAAGCTCAACTTTTTACTCTTTACCATCATTTCAGCTCCAAACACGCCTCTAAGATTTCAGGCTGTTTTTTTCTTCTATAATTATAGAAACCCTGATTGTGAATTCATTTGTGTGGTATCCGAACAGTTCATTTCTCAGTCATGACTGACTCTAATCCATGGTGAAAACACCTCTGTAAAAAAAAGTAGAAGCACCTTTAAAACCTGTCAGGGCCTGCGCAGGAAAGAGAGAGTGATGATGATTAACAACTGTCAACAGCTTATGTAATATTTATTCAATCACAGATACTCCCAAATACTTGCTCTCTTTTCCTCTGTATAACTGACCGTCCAGTGGTCAACCACAGACCCCTGAGAGTAAATATAAATGTTTATACATTTCAGGATGAAGAGAAGAAGAAGCCCAGCACTGTCATTTATCCTTCACCAGCTGGTGAGTCTTTACGTTCTTTTAACACCAAGAACCACATGTTTCACCACATCTGTGTTTGTGATTTTGTTAGTTTTGGACCTCATTATTTTTATCTGTCAAAGCTGCAGATTCAGGTTCTGAAGGAGATAAGGAGACAGGAGCACAAGTTGAAAAGGTGAAGTTTTGACCGACGTAGTGTTTTTTTTTTTTACTTTTAAACATTCACAATCAACTACTGCAAATGATAATTGTGCAGAAAGAAAATAAGAAAAATATTTTTTATTGTGACAGGTTAAAGAACTTAAAGCAGAAGTCAAAGAAAAACTGGCCGCTGCATCTACTGGTACATGTGATACTTTGGATTTTTACTACAAAACAGAAAACAACGAATCTGCATTTTTAAGCATAATGATTGTCTGTGTCCAGCAGGGGCAGCAGAGGCTTTCCCTGATCCTGTTGAGGATGGCAACATAAGTGATGATGAGGAAGAAGAAGGCGAGGCAAAGGACAAGAAGAAACAGTTGAAGAAGAAGAAGAAGAAAAAGGTAATCATGTGATGATTGATGATGGACCTACGAACCAGTACCAGTCCACGGACCGGGGGTTGGGGACCCCTGCTTTAAACTATTGTCACCGCTATGAACTAACATTATACTCATAAACATTATGTTGTCTGATCCTCAGAAACCTACTGTGATTTGTTAAAACACATGTTTGTGGTAATTTTAGGACTCGGGTGCATCTTCAGACAGTGATGATGAGGATGAAAAAGAGAAGAAGAAGAAAAAGAAGAAGGACAAGAAGAAGAAGAAGAAGAAGAAGGTAAAGGTTTCTTTTTCCCATCCTCCTCTGCTGTCTTGTTAAAGGATGAACTACATGCTAATATAATTCACAGGAGTCGTCCAGCTCCTCCTCATCAGATGACTCCTCCTCGGACAGTGATGAAGATGACAAGAAGAAGAAAAAGAAGAAGAAGAAAGACAAGAAGAAAAAGAAGAAGAAGAAAGACAAGAAGAAGAAGAAGAAAGATAAGGTTGGTGCCTTGATGTGTCTTCAGTGGATTTCTGATGTTTTCTGATGATCAGAAAAATCAGATCAGAGACTGCAATCACAGGGTCAGCTTTGAATCAGTGGGCAGAGTAGAGGGCTTCTGATGAGGAGGTCATGGGTTTGATCCCAAGGCACAAGATAACTAATTCATGTCCTGCTGCTCCTATTGGCTGGTGTGTTAGGAGAGGCATTGCAAAACATTCAACTGTAAGTATGTGGGTAAATGGAAGGTATTTTTAAGGCACTGTCATATTACCTTTTTTTCTTGATAATATTTATATATATATAATATATTTTAACTTTAACATAAAAACCTTTTCCACTTTGTTGTTGTGATGATCTTGTGTAATTTGTAGGATTCCACCTCCTCCTCATCTGATAGTGAAGATGAGAAGAAGAAGAAAAAGAAGAAGAAGAAGAAGAAGAAGCCAAAGAAGAAGAAAGATAAGGTTTGTGTCTCAAGGTTGTTGGTTCAAATACAGTGGGGCTGTGGTTTTTTTAATTTGTCTGATTGTTTATTAATGACCAATATCTTTATTGAACAGGATCCCAGCTCCTCTTCTTCATCTGACAGTGAAGATGAGAAGAAGAAAAAGAAGAAGAAGAAGTCTAAGAAAAAGAAAGATAAGGTTTGTGTCTCAAGGTTGTTAGTTCAAATACAGTGGGGCTGTGGTTTTTTTAATTTGTCTGATTGTTTATTAATTACCAATATCTTTATTGAACAGGATCCCAGCTCCCCTTCTTCATCTGACAGTGAAGATGAGAAGAAGAAGAAGAAGAAGTCTAAGAAAAAGAAAGATAAGGTTTGTGTCTGAAGGTTTTTGGTTCAAATACAGTGGGGCTGTGGTTTTTTTAATTTGTCTGATTGTTTATTAATGACCAATATCTTTATTGAACAGGATCCCAGCTCCTCTTCTTTATCTGACAGTGAAGATGAGAAGAAGAAAAAGAAGAAGAAGAAGTCTAAGAAAAAGAAAGATAAGGTTTGGTGTCTCAAGTTTGTAGATTCAAATATTTTATACGTGCTTATTTGTATTTGTCTAATTGGTTATTAATTACCAGTGCCTTTATTGAACAGGATTCCAGCTCCTCTTCTTCATCTGACAGTGAAGATGAGAAGAAGAAAAAGAAGAAGAAGAAGAAGAAGAAGACGGTAAAACTGTTTACAAAAAGCATCTAGATTTCAAGGACAGACAGTCGACTGTATCTGACTCTGTAAAATGCTGTTGTAGAAATGCAGCTCATCTGAAGACAGCTCTTCTTCATCTTCCTCCTGCTACTCTTCTTCATCTGATAGTGACAGTGACAAAGTAAGAGCACATGTGGGTAAATGCCGCACGGTTAGAGAAAGTAGAAATATCAGCAATAACATTTTTGTCTGTTTGTTTTTGACTTTAGAAAAAGAAGAAAAAGAAAGACAAGAAAAAGAAGAAGAAGAAGAAGGACAAGAAGAAGAAGAAGGTGAAGAAAAGGCACTGTACAGTAGTGACTGACTGCTCCCAAATGGAGTACAATATTTGGTAGTATATGAATTGAAGTCTTATATTTACTGCAATTGTACCTGTTTTTCCAGGATTCCTCTTCCTCCTCCAGCGATTCTTCTAGTGATGATGATAAAAAGAAGAAGAAGAAGAAGAAAAAGGATAAGAAGAAGAAGAAAAAGAAGGACAAGAAAAAGGTGAAATGTTCTGTTAGTTAGTTAGTGGAATTATTTTTGGGGCGGCAATGCTAATTTTGTTTCCTGAACTCACCTGAGTGTAACACAATTTTCTCATTTCATTGGCAGGATTCAGATTCTTCTGGTAGCGATGATGACAAGAAGAAGAAAAAGAAGAAAAAAGATAAAAAGAGTAAAAAGAAGAAAGACAAAAAGAAGGTAATCTGTTGTCTGCTGTGGAAAAAAGTTGACTTTTATCCACATTGTTTTTGCATCTAATCACATCTCCCGTATCTGAGCAGGACTCCAGCTCCGGTTCATCAGGTTGTGACGGTTCCAGTGGAAGCGACAAAGAAAACAAAAAGAAAAAGGAGAAAAAAAAGAAGAAGGAAAAGGTAATGTAATCATTTTAGATGATTTATGGTCAGATTGTTGTTAAAGAAGAATTTGCTCTTATTTTAAGTTCACTTTTTATCTCTTTTCCACAGAGTTCAGGCTCCGAGAGTGAGAGTGAGTTGAAGAAAATAAGTGTAAGTTTTCTCAGGATAAATGATTAATAATGAGCACGGGTGGTTGGTTGGAGTTTTAATTACATCTCGATGTTCGACTGTAACAATCTTTCTTCTTGCTGTTTTTTTTTTTTTAGGAAAGTCCTGTTTCTGTGCAAAGTGATGAACCAAAAACAACAGAGTCGGGTTCAGGTGGGGGTGAACTTTCTCCCCCCGGTGACAGCATCAGCATCAGCACCACCATCAGCCCCATCGTTAGCACCGGCACTAGCACAAGCACAAGCACAAGTGGTGGCAGCAGCGCAGCACCGGCACTAGCACAAGCACAAGTGGTGGCAGCAGCGCGACTAAGCCCGTCGTCTCCTACGTGTCTCTCCCCTCCAAACCTGTTGTAAAACTGGATCCTTCTTCTTCTTCTGCTGCCACTGTTCCCACCACCTCTAGCGCCACACTGAGTATTGGAGACAGAGCACCCATCCGCAGACCTGTCAGCCCCATGGAGTCACTGATGGGCAGTCCGAGGAGGTACGGAGAAGGAGGGTCCCGCACCACTTCGCACCTCAGCTCCTCTGACATTCTGAGAGGCTCCAAGTCGTACAAGTGAAAGCATCTCGATCAAAGTTAACTGAATAAAAACGCTCTGTAAGGTTCAAGGAATTTATTTGGCATAGATTGAAAGTAAATGAGATATGGATGCTGCACCTATGATTTCACATTAGTCCACAGTAAATAATCCAAATGCCTTTACTGTTTTACTGACAACACAAGTGGTATTATACGGTACCATACACACCCCACCATACGGTCTGCCATCTGCCCGGGGCAGGTATAGTGAGATGAGTGACATTCACCTTCAACTTATCACTTCAACACTAAATCCTGCACGGTGTGTTCAAATGCTACAAATGATTGTTCACTTGTGAAACATAGGATGTGTGTTTTATTATGCTGCTTGTTTGAACACAGAAGTTGCTGGGAAAATGCAGTGTGATACAAATGGGAAAGATCTAATGTTTTAATTAATAATAAATAAATGACCACACAGTCAAAACGAAATATTGTCAGGGATTTCTTATTCGGTTATAAAGTGATTTTATTTGATCATTTCTTGTTGTTGTATTTGTCTTCATATTTTCTGTTCTTTTTTACTAAATCTCAAAAAGATTTAAAATTTCATTGACCCACAAGTATTTTCAGCTACTTCAAAAGTGCTATTTTTTTTAAAAGCACTAATTTAGAAACCAGAGCTCAGAATACGTAGAAGATACACAACTCAAAACACACAAAAATTTGAGAATTTAACGATTTTGATGTTAAACTGAATACTCTGAATTTCAAAAATCCTATATTTCATCCATATAAAAGCGTTTTGAAAGTTTTAATACTAGTGGTTAAACTGAATACTGTGAATTTCAAAAATCCTAAAACTTTTTTTCATCCATTTAAAGCGTTTTGAAAGTTTTAATACTAGTTCTGTTACTAAACGTCAAGAAAAAATTACGTCATAAAATACAGATTAAGATTTGTCAGATAGATAAATAATAAATATAAGGTTTTTATTTAATTGAAAATCCACAGTCGATGATGATTGATTTTAATCTTAGATAAAAAATAAAAACTAGAATGATCAGATTTGTTTTGAGAAGAGAAGATTGTTTTAGTTGTTTCTCTGCCTGTACGTGAACGCAGCACAATAAAACAGGTGCCGGGGGAGGGCGTGGTCATACAGGTCACGTGTTTTAGGTGCGGTCGCAACTTGTTTCCCGTGTTTGTGGACAACTCTCAGTGTCAGTGTGCTCTGCTGCAGTTCACCTGTGTATCAAGGACCAGAGGAACCAGATAAAATGGACTTGGCGTCAGGTAAGACGTTGACAAATGTGACGTCATTAGACTTTTAAAATATCATAAAATGTGCATAAGCTGCAGCTAGCCGGTGAAAAGGCAAAAGGTTTTAAACGACGCGTTTTACACGTAAGGATTTGAGAAAATGACTCAAAAAACACGATGAAAGATCAGTTTTTTTAAATTTATTAATTAATTTATTTTTGTCATAATTTGTTTCCTTTCTTAGTCTACGTTTTGAATTTCTACTTTTGGAAGCACCTGCACTTTAACCTTAGATGCTAACAACATAATCCCACCCTGACTGGATCATACAGGTCAGAAGTCAAAGAAAGTTTTAGGTAATCAGTTCTGGCAGGTTACAAATATATTCAGCATTAAACATTATCCTTACTTATAAACAATACCGAAATAAATCTCAGCATGAGGGAACATTTAGGGAGTAGTCTAAGTTTGATGATGTTACAGTATGTTGTCACCGCTATTGTTTTTATGGTTTTTACAGATTTAGAAATTGACACTCACTGTTCACATGGTCTTGTTCTGCAGCTCTGGGAGATGAAGAAACAGTGACAAAGTCTGAGGCTCATAGTGATGAGATCAGCTGGCCCTGGAGTAAAAAGGACAAGGATAAGGGCAAGGAGTCCAGTAAGGATAAGGGCAAGGAGTCCAGTAAGGATAAGGGCAAGGAGTCGAGTAAGGATAAGGTAGGAGCTTCGTGCATCCTTACAAAGATGTTCCTTCTAAGCAAGGAGTCCAGTAAGGATAAGGTAGGAGCTTCGTATGAGTGCATCCTTACAAAGATGTTCCTTCTAATGTTCTGGGTGTTTCTCTGAAACTTTTATGAATCAACGTGGGGATTTGGGGATTTGATGGATTGTGGGTGTTTCATTTCTTTCATTAAACTGTTTTCTCTCTGGGAGAATCTGCTGATTCCTCCATGGCTCTCTGCCGACGGCTTTCATGGAACGGAAATGACAATTCCAGATGTGGTGTCTGATAATCACTTAAAAAAAACCCACCATTGAACTGGTCATCTGCTCAAAAACCGACACTTTCTTTTTGTAGAAGGACAAGTGTGGAGGTAAAGACAAGGATAAGTGTGAGGGCAAGGACAAAGACAAGAAGCACAAGAAAAAGAAGGAGGGCAAAGAGGGCAAGGAGCACAAGGGCTCAGGCTCCTCATCTTCATCTTCATCTTCCTCCAGTAGCGATGAGGTGAGTCCACTGACTTCAGTTTTCCTGAGTGAAGTGTTGCCATGTTTACCTTACATAGGCTGCTACTGAATAAAAATGCAGCTCAACGGGAACCGTCGCTGTTACGCCTTATCAACCGGTTGGACCTGCGCAGCTCGTTAGTCGGTCACGCTACGCCCTGCTGCACGTGGCTTTTATTTATAGCATCTGAGCACAATCATTTTCCAAAGTGCAGCTAGTAAATTGTCAGAACTTCTTTCCATGTCAAGTCAGGGTCAGTCCACTTTTATTTGTGTAGCCCAAATTCATAAAAAGGAATTAAACATAAAATATCCTCTGAAAAACATTTATTTGGAGAGACAGACTAGTGGTAAAAGAGGAGACCAGGTTATTGTCATCATACTATGTATAGGTTTCTTAGAAGAGTGGGGAAGAGAAAGCAGTCTAGACCTATAGCGGGATAACTAAGGGATAACTCAGTTTTACCTGAGTATTTTTTTTTCAAATGAGTCTAACTTAATTATATACACTGGCAGTTGGTTTCAAAGGTGTGCTGCCCAATAGCCGTGGGCTACTCTTGGAATGTGACGTGTGTTAGCTGTATTGTTTGTGTGACTGATGGGTTTTGCTCTATGCAAATAACTGATGCAGAAAGTGCGTGACAGGGTGGGACTGCAAACCGGTCAGATAGTAGAGTCATAAAACGCCTGTCTTTGTATTATCGCCTGTGTGAAAGTGAACACGCTGTTCTCAGGCCTGTCATGGCCTGACTAGATTTAATCGCATTCCACGCCATGGAAAATGATGTTTCTTGTGAAGGCTCCTGCAGCTGCAGGAATATAATGACGTTGATCTGAACATGTGTTTTACTGAGTCACATGACTTTTCTGCAGTAACACCTCTGTCCCTTTTTGTCATTTCAGAACTGATGCTTCCTGTGGGACAGTGCTGCTATAATAGCATCAGATTCTCTCGTCTGTTGACAAGTGCCTTCGCTCGTGTGATCATGTTTGTGTGTGTTGACTTGTGCGGCCTAACATTTTTTCTTCTTGTCACTCAAATTCAAATTGATTGTAATTATGAATTGAAGAAAAAAAGAATTAAACGGTGGGAGTAAAAACTAATTGATTTTGATGGTGGTTCTTGTACTTGCCAGTGAAATGTCAGGGCAGGGCCACTAGATGGCAGCATTTTCAATCCTAAAACGTGAATTCAGGACGTGTAGTAGATAAGTGTATAATCTTAAGCAAACACATCAAATACGTTTTTTTTTTTTTTGCTTGAAAGTTTTTCTTTGTTTTAAAAATGATTTTTATTTTTTCATGCACTACAAACATCTGTTTGACCTGGAATGTCTTCCAGACAACAGCTGTAAAACCACAAAAAGTGTTTAATTTTGAATTGTAATTTATGTTTCAAGCTCAATTGTGGAAATTTGATACGTACAAGAGTAGAAACTTATTCACTTAAAATCTAAATTCACTAAAGAATCCTTGGTTTGATGTTCATATGGGGCCGTATTTTACAATCAAGGGTAAATCCAGAGCTGCACTGCTCAGTACTGAAGTAAAAAAATAAATAAAAAAATACCACAACACCTTTCCGACAGAGGGTTCAACATCTCAAACATAATTCAGTGCTATAAAACAAAGGGTCACCATTTACCTGACATCAATATTCAGGATGGTGCGAGCGGCAGCCTGGGCTGTCAGCAGTGGAGAATTACCACATTTAGCATTGAGGGTCTCCTTCAGGTCTTTTGAATCTTTTATGGCGGAGCAGAAAAAAAAAGAAAAATGGAGCAGATTCTGATGGGAATCAATAATAAATCAAGCATGCATCTTTGCGACGGCTGCTGAAGGAGCAGGATTTAAGTCATCCATCATGTGCATCATGTGCAGAGGCTTTTTTTTATTATTTATTATTTTTTATTTTACTCCTAAGAAAATACTGCAGGGCAAAATTAATGGGTGGAGTAAAAGAACAAGAACAAATTCTAGCAGGATCTCACCTGCAGAGCATTTGTCCTTCAGAGGGACGGGACTTCACTAAAGGATTCATTTTTGAAAATATCTTCCATAACTATCTTTCATTTCTGTTGTGGTTCCTTGTGTGTGTCTGTGTGTGTGTGTGTGTCATTCTCAGTGACCACCTGACCTGCATCAACGATGTCACTTGCATTGGACCAGCGCTTCTTGGAAACAGTAACGACAACATACTGCCTGAGTTCAGCTGAGGAACAGCCTGAGGATCATCTGCTGCTTAAGATGTGACAACAACAACAACAAGGTCTTTGTTTCAAACGGCACATGCTTTCATATCTAAAAAGACCAAAAAAAATCATAAATATGTTCAGACAATGATCCAAACTTACTAAAAGTTAAATAATTGAGTGGTTATCTGGGGTCAGTGGCTAAACAAAAAAGAAATAATCCAATAACATAAATACATAATTAGGTGTCCACTCTAAATTGACTTTTAATATGAATGTGAGTATAAATGGTTGTCTCTATATGTGGCCCATGTGTGTAAGAATGAATGGTTGTCTCTATATGTGGCCCATGTGATGAACTGGTGAACCATCCTGCCTTTACCCAATCACATGTCATAAACTGGAAATAAAGATCCACCAGAGCAGGGAAATAAAAAATATTAAATATATTTTTTTTAACTGACGTTCCTAAATGAAACACCTGCTGTGGAGTATGCAGCATTTTTTAAAGAAAACTACATCTTCTGTTTGTGTTCTTTTTAATGCAGTACTATGAGCCCTAATGTTACTCCCACTCCCACTGATGGTGCTCTTATCTAGCGTCCAATTCAATTATTCAGCGCTCCCACTGTGCACCTCCTCTTTCAGGATGAGAGTCCCAGTGGGCTGAAGTCACACTCAGTGGGATCCTGCAGATCCGCTCTGATATTTGTCAAGTCCCAGATCAAAACCAGTATCCTAATTGTCTCCCTCTCTCCCTGGTCTCTGCCGGAGCGCTGGTGTTTAAGGCCAGCGGGCATCTATAATAGATTTAACCATCCATTATTTGTCTTCTCTTCTTCTTGTTGTTCTCCACCTCCTTTATTCAACCCTCATCTGTTGGGTGCATTTTTGCCTTCCAGTATATTTTCATGGGTCATCGTCCACTGCATGTCCACAGAAATGTGATTTACGTTTATCTCCAAACTCTAGGTCTGATCTGATCTGACCCCATCATGAAAACCTCAGCATCTCCATCTCTGCCAGCCTCTTGTTTTTTTTGGGCCGTGCCTTCGTCAGTAAACAGAGTCAGCCTCTTGTTTTTTTGGGCCGTGCCTTCGTCAGTAAATCATGCATCACAGTAAGTCTCACTTGTGTTTTATAAACCACCGCCTCCACTCTACGTGACCTATCGTCAAAGTCACGGCAGCTTCAGCCACTCGTCCCAGACGTGGACGGGTGGTTCTTCGAAAGTCTCTGCCTCTGTTTCCTCTCCTCCACTGCCGCTCCATCAGCGGCTCAGTGTCACCTGAATTATGCTGCTGTTCTCCATCCTTCTGTGTGATGCACAAACATTCACCTGTCTCTCCACAGGGTCATTTCACCTCCTCATCTGCCATTTTATTGCTGTCCCCTCAAAAAGGGTTCACATCTCTGATTAATGCATTCGTGCTGGTTTATAGAAAAGAAAGGGAGGATGGATGTAAAGGTGACGAGGCAGAGAGGAGGTTGGAAAAAGCAAAAAAAAAAAAAAAAAGAGCAGGAAAGATTGCATGTGAGGAAGAAAGGAAAAAGTAATGGATGAAGAACTTCAGTTCAGGGTGAAGAAAGGAAAAGGGGAAGAAAAGAAAAAGTGCAAAAATAACTTCAAAGTATTCAAAGGATTAAAGGATCTGTGCACGTCCAGGCAGTGGTGCCATATTTGAAGGTGATTATGCTTTTATGATCCTTAAAAAGAACTGTACTAATAATTCATGTTTGAATGTTTTTCATGAGAAAACGACAACGTGAAACATCTTCCTTTTTAAATAAATTCCCTACTTAGTCTGCTGTATTTACTGCTCACATATACTGATTATATATATGTAAATATGAAGATATTGACCAAACACAATTTATAAATAGTCCACCGCAGGAGGGCGCGCTGCTCTCTCCCTCTCTCTCTCTCTCTCTCTCTCTCTTTCTCTCGATCGACTGGCGTCAGCGGTGTCTTAGCAACAGCCGAGTTAGCTTTAATGTCCGTCAAATGTACAGTGAAACAGGAAACAGCTACGTTGATGTTTACAAAATAAAAGTCCAGATGATTTTATTTTTCTTGTTTTGAAGATTCACCTTCCAAGATGGACCTTAGTCAGTAGTCACCTCAGTACCACAGGGGTGTCATTTTCACTGGGGGGGGAGGGAGGCGGAGCATTATTACTGACAATACAGTAAATGGAAGACTGTATAGATGCAACCATTGCACTCCATAACATATTAATACATGTTTCTGCAATTGATTATTATTTATTCAAGTTACAAATATTGTACAATGCTGTGAAATAAAAAAAAGTTTTCATTGATCAGGTCTTGTGGGCCACACAAAATGACTTGATGGACCACATTTGGCCCCAGGCCTTGAGTTTGACACCTGCTGTTCACACTGACCACAGTGTGAATGCGATTTGTTTTATTAACATTGCAAACAGAGATTGTTAAATGCAGTGTCTACTCCGAAGTTCACCTTAATTGTTCGTTGTATATATGACATTTTGTCGAAACTTATTTTGGTCTAATCACCAATCCGCCTCAGGGTTTGCCACTTCACGCCATGACATTTCTTTCAATTTATTGTGAAAAATTAGCCCGGAAGTGGTATGATTTCTCATAGGTGCGCGTCTTATTTGCACGTCGGCTGAGCTCCAGCAGAACAGAGGTGAAACCATGGAGCGCAACAAGACGCGCTGCAGGAGAAACACGCGGAGCGGCGTGGAGAAGCGTCGACCTGTGGTCGGTCTGTGAATCAGTGTCATCAGCAGCAGCTGGGAGGTTTTTATTTAGCACCAGGTGGACGTCGACTTTGGTTTTTCTTTCTTTCTACTGTGCGTAAACTCACGGCAGAGGTGCCGTTAGGAACAGAATCTTGGAATAACCAAGAGCGTTTGATGTATTAAAGGCGAAAAGAAGAAGAAGAAGAGGGAGAAGAAGGAGAAGAAGACGCGGAGACGAGAGTCCAGAACGTCAATGATTTCTGAATTATTTGTCTTTTCGCTGCGTGAACAACACTGACTGTTTTTTGTCTGACGTTTTTACAAAGACCGGGCACTTTTTTTGGAGTAAATTGATATTGCAGCTGTGATTTCATATAGAAGGAGAAACACTTCTTTTTTTTTTTGGAGTAAACTGATATCGCAGCTGTGATTTCATATAGAAGGAGAAAGAATTTGACTAAAATTAAAACACCGAGTCGCTCAGGAAACTCAGGAATCATGTTGAAGTTCCAGAACTCGGACCTGTGGATCGCCTGGATGGTCTGTTTCTGCCTGGAGGGTAAGTTGACCGACAGTGATGAACTTCTTCTGCTTCTTCTCCAAACTTTTACAAACCTTTGATCCATCATTGCTACAAATGTCTACTGCCCCCCATGTTTATCACGGTTACAAATCTACTTTTCACGTGTTTAATTTAGTACAGTCTTGTTTCTGGGTCTTAAATTGCGCACCTTCTCCTCCTCTTCCTCCTCGTTCTCTTCGCTCTGCGGAGGCGCATGGCACAGACATCATCTCCTCTAATACTGTATGTTTGGATCAGGCTGATAAATCCCCGGCATTTCCACCCAACTAAAGCCTTAAAAACAGATTTAGACAGTTTTTTTCCCCTTCAGTATCCACTGTCCACAATGCCGTCGCTCCCAAAAGCACTTTTACCGTCTCATCTCTAATGCGCCCTGGCGTGACAGTGTCGCTTTTACGCGTCTTACACGGCACACAAAAACACATTTGTGGCTTAAAAACACTCGCATTTATTGCTTTTAAACGTGGCTCAGCAGCGGGGGAGTGTGTTTTGAAATAGAAACGCAGCAGACGGTGCAGGGCTGCGCTGCTAATCCGACCGATTAACGGGGCACATGGTGGTCAAGCGGTGCAGGACAGGGCAACAGACCTCGGACCTCAGTGAGTCCTGGTGCTGGTCTGTAGAACCGTATTGAATTTACAAACTGGTCAATAAATAACTGAAAATAATTTATAAACATAAACCCAGTTTAAATATATTTTGTGTTTGTGACTATTCTCATGGGTAAATGAACAAAAGTTTAAATATATTTTGTGTTTGTGACTATTATTCAATGTGTATCCTATCATCTATCCATCCATCCATTCATCTATCATCCATTCATCCATCCATCCGTCTAATGTTCTTATGATTCTTCTTTTGTTCTTTTGGCTTTGTTGTTTTTACGATCCTCTTCAGAGGAAAACTGGTGATAAAGCACGGTGGTGCAGCGTGTAAACACTGTATATGATTGACAGTTTGACTCTCCAATAGGAGCCAATTGCACACTTTGTCACTTTCCCTTTGTGATATACATCACACAGCACTGCCCAGATGTTTTATTGACCCGGACCCAATGATTGAGACACAAAACTTGAACAGAGAATTTGGAAATTAAGTTAGAAATAAATTAACTTTGAATTATTTAGAGATGTTGTATCTCCCGAAGCACCGAAAATGAGTGTCAGGAATTTACACACCCTCGTTGTTTTAAATTAAATAACTGTGTCTAATTCTCATATGTTCTACACTCACACTGAAGCCGTGGAGACCGGAGAAAACGTGCGTAAATGATTAATGTCTCTCATTAAAAGAGCGTCATTAGTGGAATGTATTTATGCGCGGCAGACAAAGGACTAATAACAAATGGAGTTGGTCTGAAATATGAGTCTGTTAAATAGAAAATAAATGAGGGAGGTTATTTATATATATTTATATATATAAACCAACTTATTTCACACATTGTAGCAACAAATAAATGGTAGAAAAATGCAAATAGAGTCTTACAAAGACTGAAGCAACATTCCCACTGATATCACAAACACAAACGCACACATGTTGACGTGTCAATTTGAACACGACAACAGCGTGAGATTGAATTTAGCCTTGATTGCCTCGGCGTTTCACTCCGCTGCCCCCTTGTTTACCTGAGTGGACACACGGCGTCTTGTCAGCTTCACTCAGGGTTACACACACACACATACACGTATGTGCACGGTGAGATTAAATCTGTCGGTATGAACCTTTTGTCTGAAGCCGATACCAAATAGAGAGAGCGATCCTCTCCGTGAGTCCCAGAGAGGCTGGTGCTCTGTGCAGTTATTGCCTCAGTTATTGCACCCAGTGAAGCTCCTTGTCGACAGATGACTTGTACCAGTGCAGCAGTGTGTGAGCTCAGCAGCTTTATTAACAAATGCACTTGTTCAGGAGAAAGCTGCTGGCTGACAAGTTGGTTTTTTTTTCTTGGTGGGAAGCATAGAGTTTCTATAAATAACATTCTGATGCAGCAAAGTCAGTATCGATTGAGGTTGTTTGTTGTGACTGTTTCTACTGATCTCCACTTTTTTCATGTCAGACATTGTCACCATATTGATCTGAGCTGTCTGAGCTATTACTACACTCCCAGTGGCTTTTGGCTGGGACATGAATCATTTTTCCTTTAGCCCTTAAGGTCTCTGCCAAAGATTTGGGTAAAAATATTTAAAAGAAATATTATATGACACACTTATATTTACTCATCTTAATCACTTGTCGCTTCAATCATATTTAGTGTACCTTACAATAAACATAATGGTAAATATTTTCCAAATATACATGTTATATAGTTCTATATTTTCCTTTGATTAACTTCCATCCATCCATTTTCATCCGCTTATCTGTTACTGGGTCGCGGGGCAGTAGTCTCCATGACCGCCACCCAAATCACACTGCAGCGTACCAACCCCCCTGAACCTTCCTGCGGGTGGTGAGTCCACTGGAAGGTACCAACCGCCCCGACTGGGATTCGAACTTGCCCACCAATGACAGAGACATTGCCCCTGGGCCAAAGCACCACTTTTGATTAACTTACAAAAGTAAAATCTAATTACGATATTCTGTTGTGTTCAACGTACGTTTCTTTTTTTTTATTTTCGAGGATTTTAGTGAATATATATATATAACAGATATCGGCATAAAGTTAACATCAACATCCCTGATATTATTTAAAAAGAAAATCCTGCTTCAGCTGTATCTGATAAGTAGGTTTTTCCTGCTCTTCGCTCTGCTAGCCACTAAATAGGAGCAGCTGGAACAAGAGTGTGGGACAGATGGAACTTTCCACCTCGATTATTTTTCACCCTAAAAATAGATTCAAAAAGAAAAAATTAAAAGAACGCAGGGTTCAGTTCCACAGTGTGTGTTCCAGTGTGTGTCGAGGTGACGGAGATGTTCTGAACTTCAGATGTGTAGGGATGAATAAATGATGGATTGATATTTGGGGGAGAGACAGCACAGCAGCCGTCTGGTCCCAGGGTCTCCTAGGCACACATTAGACCGGGTCCAAGAGTGTCTTCACACGGGCGACTCTGCTGGAGGGCAGCCGGCCAAATGTCTTGGGCGACCATCTGATGTGGTCAAGATTTGAGGTTTTTTTATGCTTCAAGATTTTTGGCCTGCTTGGTTGGCTGTGTGATTAATCAGTGATTCACGGGTGTGTGAGCAGCAGGGCTTGACCACTGAAGCCAAAATGTAATCAGTTTTAGAAGAATCAACAGTCAGCGTTTTATCGGTCATTGCATCCATAGAGTCGACACTAGTCTGATAAATAATAATCTATATTTCCAAAATCATTAAATACACAGAATTTAGAATGTTAGCAAGTTCAACTACGAACCAACACAAAAGTGAAAATTCAATTGTCGAAACTTGATTTGCATGTGAGAAAACAAGCGTATTGACGTGCTCTGGGTGCAGGTCGCTCAGTGTCAGGTGATGTGCTTGGAAAGGCTATTTTTGTCTATCTACAGGACACATTTTTACTATGAATTGTATACATTGAGTTGAGCACCTGGCTCTACCCCAGAGCTGCTCCTGGATCGTCATGTCCATGTGACCTCCTCGGGGGAACCTGAGGTGTCCAGCTCAGACGGTGTCTCTGAAGGATCAACCCAGCCACCTTCAGGTCTTTTGACTTGATAATCTCATTCCTTTCCTCATGACCGCAGGTCAGAGTGGGAACAGAGACAGAATGATAGATGTTTGAGGCCAGTTCTTCTGATTCTGATGCCTTAATGTCAAATGACTGGTTCTCTGTATATTTGACTCTAGATTCGGGTTGACCATCAACTTCTCCAGACTGGAGATAATTGTATTAATTCAAAAAAATGTATTCATTAAGTTAATGAAATGATAAATATAGTGTTGTAATGAATGTGTGTTGAGTTGGACCTCAGTATCACAACCGTGTTTATTAAAGAGTTACGAATATATGAATATTATTTAGAAACAGAGTTTTCTACATCTGGACTGCAACAAATATAAAGTGCATTTATACATGATGATAGAACAATGGGTTGATAACACACTGTGACAGGTCGCACTGTATCACTGGAACTAAATCTTTCATCATATACAGTATATATATATATATATATATATATACTGTATATGGTGATGCAGGCACGTGTACAAGTGTGTTGAGTGTGTGACAAGCTCTGGGCTTATACATATTTAAAATAGATGTTTCCCCGGTGGTGCGGCACCCTGATGCTGCACTCCTTGATATGAGCTGTTTTGCTTGACTGGCTGACTTGAGGTTTGACAGAACCTTTGCTGACAGGACTCACGCAGCAGATCAGTTATTCTGCAGACATTTGGGGCATGAACATACAGCATTAGAGAAGCCGCTTTGGAAAAGTGTTACTTTATATAAAAGAAATGCATTAAGTTTTTGGTAATAACCAAGTTTTAGTGGTTTATCCAAGGAAGGCTACTTTATAACATATTAATACTTAATATTAATATGTTATAAATTAATATTTTTTTATTTTTAAATCCTACATTTCCTTTAAGTTCATTGCAGAAAATATTTAATAATTAAGTTTTTAAATATTTTACTTTGTTCACTGCTCAGATCTACGTGTGATATACAGGGCGTGGCATCAACAGAGTAAGGACAAAAAATGAGTTAAGACTTTTAGAACGTCATGAGAACGGCGTTAAAGCTCATCACTAGCCACAAACTGTGGCACGCTGAGCTTCAACAGAATAATTGTTTTGCTCCACAGAATCATGTGCAGTGTCACATGGCCAACATGATGATAAAAGTGAAACCTGCTTTTGAGCAGTAATCTGACTCAGAGTCGTGTAAACAGTTTTAAAATGACAAAAACATCATAAATATATAGTTATGAAAAGCCATAAAATGAGTGCCAGGAATCGAACCCTCCATCTGTACTTCAGTAAAAGGCTGTTTGTAAAAACAGACACATCTGTTCACACTTCACTGTTGGTTTCAA